TTATTGATCTGATACTCCTCCGCCAGAGGCAATAAACGAAAGGCAGAATCCGCTCCATTAGTAAAGGTGTCCTCAAACCCTGGATTCAGGAAATCCAACATTTCTTTGATATCTTTGGATCGCTTTCCTGGCAGATATATTTGACCATCCTGCTTTTCTTTGAAATCTAGTGTAAACATGCTCCTAAAAACTGGCGAGGCGTAGGAGAGAAGACATTTGCAAATCCGAAAACGTTCATCTTCTACGATTAATTCGATCCCAGAATTGGTATCAAAAGTGTCGTAGGCGTTACTTGTGTTTGATGTTGATTCGGTTTCCATCTAGCAATATAACCTATATAGGCTTAGGATCGAGAAAGTAGAGATGACGTAACAATATATTATTTCGTCACAGAAATTATGACAACACACTGCGGGTCATATATTCCATGACGTCATAGTTGAGAAGCTACGTGCACACTTACCGTGCACAGGCACTTGTATCAGAAATAAATTTTTAACGGTAACCCATAGTATAATAATAACACTAGGTATCTAACTCCGAATTATACTCAGTACCCCCCCCTCCCCCTCAGAAACGGACTCATTTACACTTTCAGATGAAATGCACTGGCAAACTTTTTATTACCATTGTCTTCTACGATAATTTATGGACACAACCATATACTCAGTACATGGCATGCATGTCTTTGTTTTCATTTATCTCCGTAAACAGCTTCAAAACTCTGCCTGCCGAGTGGAAAGTCGAACTCAACCTTGAAACGGTATGTGCTAATCTCTGGCAAGAGTAAAATAAAAAATGAGTGGGTTAAAAAAAATTCGATTACAGATTTAAAATATTGCATTGAATAAATGAAATTTGATTATGTCTCATTTTTCATAAAAAAAAACAACTTAGTATGATATCAATGTAATTTATACGTTTAAGCCAATCAAAATGTGTGCTTCAAGTTTCTTTGAAGTTCTCATAAAAGTCCTATAAAAAGTCCTATTTTTACCCAATGAAAGTATTTTAAAATTACATATTTAAAGAAATTGAGATTCTTTTAATCTAACCAAAGATACCAATGTCTATTTACATAATTTGAAATTAGAAGTGATTTATATTTTACAATGATAGGAAAATATTTTTACACTATGCATTGTAAAATGATTGAACTCAAGTTCTTTATATGTTTAAAAATTGTACAATTTCTCCAAAAGCCTGGATACCTCTGATTTTTATTTTTCAAATGTGTTTTTGATCAAATTTTGAATTGGAAAATGCATAGTAGGAGTTTTTATTCGTATTTCCTGAAAATTTATTTGAGATTTAGAGATTTCTCTGCATAACATGAATGAATAACTTTAAAGGTGAAGTGTGAAGAATTATCGATGGAAAAAAACCAAATTACTCTGAGAATTCAGAGACAATTTCGTAAGCATTTTTAATTACCTAATGCCTGACTTTCATAACATGAGGATCGGGGTACCTTATAGTGCTTTAATTTGAATTACTACTTTATATGTTTAAACTTAGTTATTGTATTTGCTCAGAAATGCATCGCACACTTCGAATTGCACAGTGACTATTAAAACTTATAGCAAATACATTTTAATAACAACAGAGGTCAGTGCGAAGTTTGCTATATATTTTACAACTGACATTATACAATTATTGCTGTGTTTACGTCAATACAATAATTTTGCAATCTGAGGAATACAATATTCACCGAGCCCGATGGGCGAGGTGAAGATCTTACCATGAAGGTGGTGGAATCATCGTATTGACTGAAAAAAGCAATTCATGTTTTATCATATGATTCAATGATTAGTTGTTAAAACTTGTTAAGTTAGCAGGATAAAGTTTGATTTTTCAATCTGGTGTAGATGCAATGTCTGGCACGTAGCCGCTATTTTCAATAGGGGTGTGGGTGGGTATCAAATTCAATGAAAGTCAATGTCCTTCCAGTTACCAAAGCTTTGATGCATTTTGTTGTAACCAACAACTACATAAAGTCACTATAACAAATAAATAACAACAAATAATTCATAGAAAATAAGTCATACTAAAGTCCCAATAAATATGTCACAACAAATAGGTTATAACAAATAAAACACTGTGTATAGTGGTTATCGTGTTTGTCTCTGGGAAGAATATGGAGGATACTTGGTTTATTTTATTTCATTTTATTGCTTATAGGGTTCAAATCCCAAAAAATCCTGCATGAATTTTCTTTTTACCAATAGTCTATTTTTCCACAGAAAAATTGTCATAATTTCATTCGCTATGGAATTACATGTATACTTAATTACTATACAATTTTAATTTTGTTAAAAATATATTGAATCTTATATTCGCCCGTCTTTGAGGTTCATTCTACTATAACTTTAAAACATTGTAAAGGAAGTATTATTTAAAATATAACAGTGAATATGGTGTAAACAAATAAAAAAACATATCATCCATACGACACACAAACACGAATGGCCCCATCATGTACGTTAGCTGCAGAAGTGTTGCTCTCTGTTTGAGAAAATTTCGACAGACAATCCAGAAAGCAATAATTCTGCAGCTAACTGTACATGTGTATCTCCAACTTTCATACTGTGTGCGATTTGCTTTTTTTAAAAATCAATATCTCGATCATCAAAACATTTTGCTATGATAAGCTGCCATATGCAGCAGAACGCATAGTTATGATGAAGAATGCCTTTTGCAAAATTCCTGATAGTTCCTTGACCTATAGGCCATTGTATATTAAGTAAACATTACATAGTTATGATGAGCCATTCCAAGTTTTTTCTGTGTTATATAGAGAAAATGCAGTCCACGTGCGTATATAGTTATTATGAGCCTTGGTTTTTGACATTCATTGTTTGATCTTCTTCTCTGCTGCTTGGTAGATTAACTAAAAAAAAACAAAAAGAATCAGGAGTCCACTATTGAATAATTAATTATTCAGTATATAATTATGTCAAAATTTGTGATTTATCTAAATATTTGTATATTTCATTATTGGAATATATAGTTTCAGTATTAAATACCTATATACATATGTTGCTGAAGAAAATAACTTTCTTTATGAAAAATAATTGATAAATGAAATCATTTTTTTGATCTTTTGAATGTGTGGACGTCATTCTGTGTGGTATTACTATGAAATATATGTGTTTTATTATTATTATTTTTTTGTATATTTGTGTGTTTTTTTGTGAATGCCATGACATCTAGTTTAAAACCTGAACCAAAGTCAGGTTTTTGAAATATGGGTGTTTAAATTAATTTCTCGATCAACAAAACATTTTGCTATGATAAGCTGCCATATGCAGCAGAACGCAGAAGAACGCTTCCTGATAGTTCCTAGACCTAAGGCCATTGTACATTACTGGGGATTCTTTATGTATGACTGCTCTACTCAGATAGTGCAACCTCCATCAAACCTATTAATTACAGCACAATGTCGTTCCTGTATTCGACAAAACACTATTTTTACGATATGATCGAGTCAAGATCTAGTAAATGAAAGATGCCTACAGATTTGTCAAATAAGAGAAACACGTTCTTTCTATCAATATTTCCAAATATAACTTTGTATTTTTTTTTTTTGTATTAATTAGCTGTAGAAAATGATCAATGAAAGTATTGTACATTACCTACCTAGTATCTCCGGGATATTAAGTAATGCGTATATGTATACAAAAAATCTTTGTCATTTTAGTAAAACACTTATATGGCACTTTACAGTGCATCTCAAAACTAAAGCGAAAAAGATTTCTTGGGATGAAACCCGCAAAAAGTTCTTCCTCCTTTCCATTGTTCTGGTGTGTTGTCTAATCTGTCATTTTACGATAAACGTGGTAATTATTAAGGACACTCAGAGCTCTGTTAAATAATTCTTTTAAGAAGGGAAGGAAGCTTTTGTTGAATATATTAGTAAATCTGATACTTCAAAGACTTGACTATTTAAAAACGGCGATCTAGTTGTGAAAAAAAAATTACATGAATTGAGTACTTGCAAGCATTACTACAAATTGAAATAAATTGTACATATATTTCAATTTATATGTACTTACTATTATTGAATTAAACGCCAACTATAAAATATTGACCCACCGTCCTTGCGTGGGACATTTCTCTCCCTGTCGACTTCTATTTCTGTGTCCAATAGAACGTAATTTGATCCTGGAATGGATATTTCCTGAGGGTTATAACAAGATAAAAAGAAAGTACCTATAAAGGTTATATTAAAAAGAGCATCACAGTCTACTCTGATATTCATCAATACAACCTTTATCACATCTTTAAGCACCCTTTGTACTTTAAACATTGATCAAGGAAATACTATAGTTATCTACATAAAAGGAGGAACTGGCCGAGTTACAAATGAAATAGATGCTGCTATGCATTATATCGTTTGCATGGTATTGTCGACTAGTACATACATATTTTGTAAAAGTATGAGTCTATGCTTTGTTTATTTCTATTATCCAGATGAACTATTGTGATTTTTAAATGAAATATATGGAAATAACGAACAGTTTTCATTCTCAAAGGTCCATTAAATAATACAAGTTTTGGAGTAGAGCGAACAAGGACCTCAAAAACATCAGAGGTGGGATAAGATGCCATGGATGAGTAAATATACCCAGTCGTTCGGTCACACACGCCGTGTGCTCCTTACCATGATAAGGAAATAACTAAACAAAATATCGACATAATTATCATTATGCAAATAATGACCTATCACCTCAGTCAGCATTTGACTTTATGAAAGATTGTATTCAAGGCACTTGACGTTTTTAACCTTTCATGTCATAAATAAAAAAATCCCCATACTATAATTATTATCATAGTAAGAGGATTTTTTTTAATTATGAAAAGAAAGGGTTGAAAACGTCAAGTGCCTGTGATTGTATTTGCTGACAAGGTCTGTGTATTGGCACAGAATTGCAAATCACAAAATGACAAAATAGAAAGTAGGCAACAACATAGACAAAATGTAATTTATTACACGTATTTTTAACAATGGAACAACCAGAAAGTGGTTTGTCGTATTAAACACTCAGCTTACAATTACTAGTTATACAATGCTGATAACAAAGAAAAAAAAATCGACTTGAAATAATGAAGAAGAGCCTTCCCATCAGACATGTCCTTATATATTAAGGAAAAAACCCAAGAACATATTTAGGAAGGACAGGTGAATGATAAGAGAGTATGTCTAGAGCTTTCATGCTTAAAGCATGTCGTTAATCAGTAAATTTAGCACAAGAAACTATAGCACTAAAAATGTTTGGACGAACGCATGTGATGAACGATCACACATTTGTCTGTCTACAGCTAAGTCTTGTCCTGTATTTTTTCTCAAACGCACTCTATATCATATGATGTAGCTTTTATTCAAAGCAAAAAATCCGAAATGATTTCATTGTAAGTTTTTCTAGATATTTTAAAGGCGCTGTCTATTTCAACGATACAACTGTAACTTCATCGCGGGCCGATAGTGTCCCTGGTGCCACCATCTGGAAACAAGTTGGCGCAAGCGTACTAAACTCGCCGTCTGCTTTAGGTTTGACAGGGCGTCGATGGCCTCTGGATGTTTTGCTTCCAGACATTTCGTTTCCTCTTGGAATTTCTGGATCCAATTCCTTGATTTTCAATCCATGACCATGAGGTTTTTTCTCCATGTTGGCTAGGTCGTTCGTTGTTATCGTTCTTTCGTGAAGCTGCTGCAGCAACTGACGAGCAACTTTTCCTTGTTTAGAATTCGGTGGGAATTCGTTGATATAAGCTTCTATTGCCTTTACGATGAGTTCGTCATATACCCCCGACACGATATCTATTTTTGGCAGATTAAGGGGCTGTCCAGGTTTTCGGGATCTCGGTGTACCAAATGCCGTTCTCGGAATGGGAGCATTCATATATCTTTCAAAGTCTTCGCGCCCACTCATTATTGTTGGCATGGTGTTCGGACGAGCCCCAAAATCAGAAATCAATCCCCTCGGAATACCCATACCACCTCCACGAATGTTTGGCAAATCGAATCCTTCTGCAAAGTGTACTTTTCTTCCAGGTTCATTTGCCAAGGTTTTGCGATAAACCTCCATTGCTTTACCTTCCATGGATGAATTTGAGGATCCAAGATTTTTTCGCTGGAGATCTCCCGAAATATAAGGTAGTTCTATCAGTCGTGGCGGCGAGGCTTTGCCAGGTTGGTTGGTGCGATTGTCGTTGAAATCCCGCAAATCACCAACCGACAGATGTCTATCTGTATGACACTCGTCGTCAGCTCTGTCCTGCATATTGTACGTGGTGACAGTGGCTGGGGTAGGCGGTGGAATTACGGGGGAGGATCCATAGAAAAAGGGAAAGTGCTTTCTCGTGACTATCTGCTTCTTCCCATTGCTAAAGTTACCATCACTTTTGGAAACAGTTGGGAAATCGTCTTCTTGTTTCTTTTTTCTGCGCTGGCTTCTTGAAAGTAGTTTATTTCTTTTCTTAACACTTGAATTACCACTCAATGAGCTTCCAAGACTGTTGTCGTCATAAGAACTCGAACTTAAATCCGTTTTCGACCTTTGCAGACGATCCACAGAAACGACGAAATAAACGTAAGGCATGTCGGAATTAGTGGGGGATCTGCGGCTTACTGATAGAGGGACCATTTCTACTCCCTTTGGAGGCGGATCTTGTTGGGGTTTTTGTGAAGTATCCGGTATTACATATGTGTGGGGAGTCCGCGGCATGAATGAGTCTCCAACCCTCGGAATCGGTCTTAAATTAATCGACAGTGTTTTCTGTTTTTCGGCATGTCTTGCTCTTGATTCCTCCAATTTCTGTTGAATGAACTCCATTCGCTTCCGAGTGAGTTCCTTTCTAGTCAAATTATTGACCATTGGCTGCTTCTTGTATTTGACAATTTCAGTGCTCTTTTCGTCATCCGTTTGTTCTCTTGTTTCATCACAAACGTTTGGTGTTTCATTAGATCCCAGGCCTTCGGCGGTAAGAATAAAATATGGAGTGACTTTTGACGCCATCTTTATACTGCACTCTACGTAAATTCTCAGCCTGTCACTGCAAAAAGTAATTAATAAAAATGCACCATGAATTTGTAACTGTTTTGTTAAGTTTTAAGCAGTTAAAAGTATTGTGATGTCATAATCGAGTTACGTAAAACACATTCTTATCTAATTGTTTTGTAAAATGTATTTTGATTGGTTAATAATGAAAGCGTTGATTGTGACGTAATAATAGAGTGACGCAAAAAAAATTATGCTTTGTGACGTATTTATAGAACAAAAAGGAAACTAGGCATATAAAAAGTCTACTCATTAGATATTTCAGGACACCAAGGCAGCGTTTTCCCCGTAAATACTGTGAAGATAAAGGACAGTAACCAAGCTCAAAAGTCCATTGAAAATAATACAGATTGGGAGCAGAGGAAGCAGGGGCTTCAATAAACATCAGAGGTGGGACCAGGCGCCAGGTACTTTTATTCAGAATAAAATCTCTTTCTTTCTATGAATATAGCTAAAATAAAATTGCACAATCCATTGCATTGTACCAATTTCTCAAGATACCAGTTTGACTTGATAAAAAGAATGATTTTAATGCTTCAAAATAAGAAGTTACTGAGAAAAATGATTTAAGATTTTAATTTTCATACTCTGAATGTTTCAATGGAACTTGTCGCCATTTTGAAGAAAGTGCATTGATAACAATGTGTCGCCCACCTCCCTCTTCGAAAACAACCATATTTTATTGGAGGAAATGGCTTTTGGGGAAATAACACTCAATAAGTATGATTTTCCATCGAAAAATTGAACCTGATGCGGGATTTAGATAGGGATTTACGTTGGCGAAATCCTACTCTAAAGTCATTTCGGGGGTCCTACTTTAGAGCCTGTTTTCCGTTGGGAAATTTTTTCATGAAAATCCTACTCTATACAAGACCGGTATCCCGTCTCTCCGGTATACATTATTCTTTACATAAATTACCGCAAGGAGTCATGTTATTTTGCCAGAAAGAAGGCACACCATACCTTAATCGATAGATTTCTAATCGAAATTACTGTAGACAGGTCTTTGTATAGCATTGTGTTGCCAAATTCTAGGATTACCACTGTGTTTTACAGAGGTAACGCCAGGGCCACCGCGCTTTTAAAAATCAAAAATGTGAGTAATTTTGAAACGAAACCAATGCATTCGTCCGAGAAATTTGAGTTACATGTATACATTGATTCTAACTTCCAGAGATAAAATTAAAAGGGATTTGTCTATATTTCTTTATATTGGTTTTATCTATCTGTCCATTCTTCCGTCTGTCAAATATACAAGTATATATGGTGTCTGGGGCATATATCTCTAAGCTTTGATTTGGATACATAAAAATGTAGTACGTAATGTCTTTTCAGTCCCTTATAAGCTTCTTGGTCATAGGAATATATAGATTGCGAAAGTGGGAGAATTCTGTTCGTTCCACCAAAAACAGCTTTATCTTATCTTTATCATTACTTCCCAAATGCAAAATTAATGTCAAAAATAAATAACAAGATTAATAACTTTGATAAACACTATGATAAACATGTTATGTAAGTTAATTTGAACAATAAATTTAAATCGTAAATATAGTTAAGTTTATGTAGTGATGGAAGGAAAAGGGAAAAGTTGCAATTTCTGTAAGCAAAAGGGGTCAGCGTTTGAGAATTGAGAAACTGCCGGTAGCTTTTTGACCAAAGAGATTAAGAAATAAGTTCTGTAACACCTTCAACCCTTCACATTAAAGAAAGTGGTGCAAATGAAAAACTTTCAGCTCATGAAAAAAACTTTAAATATAACAACAACTAAATATGAAATTGAGGGGGAAACCCTTACTTTACGACTGTACTCGTATATACTGCCCGTATGCTTATTTAAATTCAAAATTAAAAATGAATTAAAATACACAATTTATTATCAGAGTACAATGCAGGTAGTCAGGGTATTCTTTCTTAAAAAATACTTAATAAAAAATATCAAACATTTACAGTATGTGAAAATGAACAAAAAGAATGAAAATATATTAGTAATCTCAGTCAACGAAAATTATTTTTTTATGAGAAATGAAAACGAATACTTACTTTATACTAAGATTTGTTTTATCCCAATCCTTTTAGAGGCGAAGATTTTGTGAAATTTGACATTTTCCTTCATTTTTCGTTTTACCAAGTTATATACTGAAGTTGAGTAATAGAATAGGAAAACTTAATCCTATTGCTAGACTAAAATGTTCCTAATTCTTAGATACAAGTTTACCCAGTTTTCCTCTCTCTCTTCAATTAAAATTGAAAAAAAAAATTACACGCTAATCTACCAGTTTAATACGGCTTAACAATCCGTGCATGAATATCTAGACAATAAATATATAAAACAGTAAATCTGTATTCGATAAGCGCCTTATTATTTAACAGTTAGTATGCAAGTGTTTAAATGCCTTGCTGGCTCAATAATTTCTGGAGGCAAAACGACTAGCTCATACTCAAAAGAAAATAAATATTATATTTAAACTCATTGAGGTTAATAATTGTTTATCAAACAAGATTAGCAACTTTTCAAACGGTTTAATCGGTGTCATGTCAATTTTATTGTTTATGACATGTATGACATTCTCGCGAGGGATTTTTTGGTACATGAGTACGTTCCGATGATAGTAGGTCGATAGATTGTCGAATAACTGCGATATCGCAGTTGAATTTTCGGATTATCTTGAGGAGTCTAAATATCCCTATACACTAAAGCAAAATGGGTTTGGGATATTTATTGTGTAAAGATGTAAATATAGGGTTCATCTATTTCAATTTCAAAATCGATTATCGGACATTTATCCCCAGGATAATGGTCAAAGACACTGAAGATTTCAGTTTGAGTATTACAGTGTGGATTTCAAATAATTTTAGATCCAAAGGCAGATTACTCTTATTGCATAAAGTACCGGAAAATTAGAACCCTTTCGTGTGCAGGGTACCCGGTGTCCCTAATAGTTTGTCATTTAAAAAAAACATAGGTAATCAGAGATTACAGAGCTCACCTCAACGCATGTTGTCTTTAAGTTAGGCAAAGTCACACAATTAACCAACAAAAAGTGTACATTCCAAAAATGAAAATATTTAAGCAATTTTGATCTGATACTTTGAAATAGTCCTAATAATATAAAAAATTTAAACTAGTTCTTCTTCATGAAAATGTAATTAAATAATTAAATTCCAGCATCTGAAGCAAATTTGAGAGTTTTCATCCCTTGATGCATCATTTGTACAAGTTTGGTTTATACAATGTTATATAAACCTTATAGTTTTTTTGGTAATAGACCTGCACCCATAACTTTTACCTGGTCTATTATCTGAAATATGTATGTCAAATTCAGCATCCGAAGCAAGTCCATTAGTGTGCATCCTAAGATGTATCGTCCATGCAAGTTTGCTCATTATAGGGTTCATAGTTAATTGGAAATGAAACCAGCATCAAAAACTATAATTTTCACTCATCCACAAAATGTAGGTCAGATTCAGCATCCGAAGCATGTCTGGTAGTATGTAGGGCTGTCACGGTTAACCGAAAACTCGGTTAACCGCTCCGAAATGGCATTCGGTTCGGTTCGAGTCAGGTTTTCCGGAATTCGGTTCGGTTTTTTTTTAACTTTTATATAATACTAATTTGCTTGCAACACGCGTTGTGATTGGTTGTTTATTTCAATGAAGGGTTCTTTAACCAATGAAAATACAGATAACATCGAAGACATTTAAACATGGCAAATACATGTGGATAGGAAAACCAAATCACAAGTAATTGTTTTGTCAAATGTCCCCTACTTTCAGAAACCAGCATCAAAAGTTTATTACTATTTTTTGTTACATTTAACAACAATAAAATGGATAGAAATTTGTCAGATTTTCACAAATACAATGTCCTTAATCCTTATTATCCTTTGATTTATATAAAGATGTTTTATTTAAATTCAAAATGAAAACCGAAGCAAAACCGAGAATGTCTGGTAGTATGCATCCTTAGATGTATCATCCATGCAAGTTTGGTCACTAAAGAACTCATAGTTACTTGGAAATGAATCATGCACCAAAAACTTTAACCTGTTCACTCAACCGGAAAATGTATGTCAGATTCAGCATCTGAAGCAAGCCTGGTAGTATGCATCCTTAGATGTATCATCCATGCAAGTTTGGTCAACACAGGGCTTATAGTTACTTGGAAATGAAACCTGCATCAAAAACTTTAACCTGTTCACTCAACCGGAAAATGTAGGTCAGATTCAGCATCCGAAGCAAGCCTGGTAGTATGCATCCTTAGATGTATCAACCATGCAAGTTTGGTCAACATAGGGCTGATAGTTACTTGGAAATGAAATCTGCACCAAAAACTTTAACCTGTTCACTCAACCGGAAAATGTAGGTTAGATTCAGCATCCGAAGCAAGCCCGGTAGTGTGCATCCTTAGATGTATCATCCATGCAAGTTTGGTCAACATAGGGCTTATAGTTCCTTGGAAATGAGACCTACACCAAAAACTGCACCAAAAATGTTAACCTGCTCTGAAAACATTAACCTGGTCATTCCTTTGCTGAAATTGCAGCATCTGAAACTTTGACTGGTACAATGAAACACACTAGAAGCATCTTCCATGCATGTTTAATCAATATAGGACCTAGAAGTACTTAAAAAGAAAACTGCTCCAAAAAACTTAACCTTAACCTGGGACGCCGACGCCGACACAGACGCCGACGCCGACGCCAACACCGACGCCGACGCCGAGGGTATTACATAAGCTCCCCCAACTTCGTTGAGGTGAGCTAAAAATGAATGATTCTCCCTCCTTAATAATATCCCTTGCCATCCATTTATGAATTTGATGATATGTCTTTGAATCAGGATGATCATTAATTATGTGTAATAGTTCACAACATACTTGCCAATTGATAGAATGGAGGTCATACATCGGTTACAAAACATTTGCTATATGACGTAAGCATTCAGTGGCCAATATTCCAGATCCTTAACATATTTCAATGTTCAAGAAATTAAACACATTGGTCGACATAACAGACAAATAATAAGAAAAAAATAAATTAAAAAATCAATTAAAAGTAATTAATGTAGATCTATAATTTTTAGCACTGTGTTCTTATATCTGTATATACTGGGGGGGGGGGGGGGGGTGAATAAGGAATTCAACGTTAAAATAGAAATAAAGTACTGCACAAAGAATTTCATTTTTACAGAAAATCAACAGATTTTTGTTTCGGAAATGCAAAGAATTAAATAAAATCTTTGTAATAAACAATGAGTGAAATATATAGATATTACAATTTTATAAAATTCAAGCAAACCAAGAAGAGTACATGTATATAACTGGAACTAAAACATCCATATCTACATTGTAGTGTAAACTGTAGATCTAAGCTGTGTTAAAGCAAGACGATAGGGTTTTAAAGAAAACAAAGGATTTTTCTACACCAAAGCCTGTTTTTGTAGATCATTTAACACAATTTGGAGAATTAAAACAATATTCAATATCCAGTCTGATATAAGATTGATTTCGCCTTTAACCTTTCTAGATAGGTAAACAATTATTGGAACAAATGGATCACTCTTATTTACAATACCGTATTTGTTCAGTTAACTACTAAACTTTATCAATCAGTCAGATTAAAAATGTCATCTCTATCAAAATTACAAATAATCAAGCGAGTCCTATGTGCTATTAACATCGGGATCGGTGTACTTGAAAAATACATACACGTTTGTTGCGTAAACCAAAGGCAAAGTATCCGTCTCTGCGGCTGTTATTACTGTTTTTGGCTTTTATTATTACTATTTGTTGTACAACTACTAGTTTTCCGGTTTTTGTATTGAATATCGAACCAAAATGTCTACCTATAATAAATTTATGAGACTCTGTGAAATGTGGCCGAAAGATGCATCGCGAAGAAAAGACCTTGGTCAATTCCTTGAAAGAAAAGTTATTAAAGCCTTTTCCAAAGGAGAACAATCAACTGTCAATGAAAAGGAGTGCAATGAAATGTACGAGGCACTTGACAGAATTGCGAACAACAATGCAATGAGGAAATATCCAATGGACGATAGTGTCAAATTAACTGTGAGCCATCTAGACTTAGAAGGCTGTCATTTGATGAATTCTGTAGCCAGGGAAGAAGAATATAAGGAGAGATTCAGTACAAAATTTAATTCAATGCTACCAGGTTTCCTAAGGAGAGGACACATACCAACAAAGTCAAAAGAATAAATTAGTGTCAATTGTTAATATGAGATAAAATGTATTTCAGTGAAATGTTATCTATATATATTCTCTGCAAAATAAATCTCAATATATATTCTGATATATTCTCTTTTGAACTTTATTGTGTATTGTCATGATTATTCTCCAACGGCTCGGCCCAAAATTAGACACCTACATCATTTTAATTAAACATATTTATTATTTATGCTGTTATATATCAGAAATGCAAAAGAAAATTAATTTGATACATTTGGCATTTTCATATAACTTGATTATATAAATGCTAATCATTAAAAAAAAAAAAGTGCAATACCTTTAAAGTTTATGGCAGTTCAAAAAATTGTTGATATTTTATTGAATTGATTTGAAAAAAATACAATTAAACAGTAAAATATATATATATCAAAAATAAACAAATCAATAAATCTTGTGACATAAACTTCTGTGTAGACCTATTGGTTTACACATAATTATCAGTAAATTCAATGGTACAATGCACTGTAGTAGACAATATTTTAGTCAGTACCAAAACTTTTTAAAAATGGCTAATAACTATTGATAATGTATAATGTTGCATGTGTGCCTTTTAATAATATTTTAATTTGATGTTGTGCTATATAACTGAAATTATTATATTTATAGTAAACGTATAGTGATTATATATACATCATTACCATAAAACAAATTTTGATGGAAAAAAATCTGGAATTTATATTTCCACTTTCCTAATTTTTGTATATTTTTCTCTGAGTAAAATTTTCATACCGGTAATTTGATATCTTCCCAAAACCCCTGTTAATGCATGCTGATTTTTTGTCTATGAACATCTGATGGCACTATAATCTTAAATTAAGAATATCTTGAAAAATTATCAGTAGGTAAAGTACCTTGCATATGTCCTTAAGTAATAAATGGTGTGTTTTTGGTAAGTTCGGACTAACTAAAATTAAAAAGATCTTTATGTTTGTTTTGTTACTTTACATAAAGATAGAATTTTCTTGTAAATTCCACAATTTAACTCAATTGTGTTTCATAGATATCCGAGATTTAAAACAATTACTGATTTATTTCCGACGTGGAAAAAAGTCATTTAAACTAATAAAAGAAAAGGGGGGAAATTTAAGTTGAAAAATTGGTGAAAAATTTAATTTGAAAGTAGATAGCAAATATCATCTTATTCTACACTCAATCTCATATTTTTTTTTTAATTTTTAGCTCAGATACGCCATATATAGCTTTAAGCTTTATGGAAAAATTATTAATACTGGGAGGTTTCCAAAGGGAACATATATGCATACAAATCATAGCCGATACATATATAATCTACCAAGTTGGCTGAATATTTAGATGAGACCTTAGGGATAACAAACAGTAATACAAACAGTAAGTCTGTTTAAATCCGCTATAGCTAAATACCCAGTACGACTGTATCACATGCAGGGACCTGAAGCATGGATCGATGATGTACAATACCACAATCTTTATTACCCCCCCTCCCTGAACATAATTATCTAAATTAAATTATCTTAAAAATGTGATTTCCCCATCAATAACATCTTTATGTCATTCTGTGTTATCAGTTTGTACAGTTTATCAGGCCAACTAGACTAGCTACTACAGTCTTGTATGAGGCTCATGTGATATACGGTAGCAGGTCATATTGCAGAGATTTCAAACAACTTATTAAATATAAATTAAAACATAAATTTATAAAAGACTGACGATTCCTACAAAGAATTTCAATTGAATAAAAAGTCAAATTGAAATCTCTATATCTCTTTTTTATAAAATGGTGGATCAATGGTAAAACTGAGATTAAAAGAAAAATCATGTTTGATGCTACAGTCAAACCCCATTACTGGTATTTTGAACTTGATAGGGCAGAGAATATTGGAGATATCAAGAATTACTGGTAAATACTTCAAGAATAAGTGGTTGTGATGTCTAATATACTTTAACACATCCATGATATTTGAGATACCAGTCCTCAAGATACCTAGTAAGTTAAACTGTTTATCATATATATTTCATTTTCATACGTATTAATTGTGACAAGACCTTTCTTTGAATATCAACATTTTTGACCTAATGACAAAGTTTCCTGAACATTTTTTTCTTCAATGACTTTAAGTTTAAGTTATCTTCCCCTGACCGTGCATCTGTATACATTTAGATGACACAAACTATGGGTTTTAAATCATAACATAGAAAACTGTACTTTTATTATTTATGATTTTATTAAATTTGAAATGTACATATCTGAATGTTGCCAGATGTTTTCAATCTCATAAAAAAAAATGTTCATAATCTAAAACTTGTAAAAAATAAATTGCATTATAAACTCATCAACACCAATATATATAAAAAATAGATTTTTTTCTCTCTTGTAGTGAATGCATGAACAAATATTACACATGGATTGTATATTGCTTTGCTAAGTGATTTTAATTTAGAATTAAGAATACTGTTTACCAGGTAAATTTTTTCTCTTGAATTCCTTTGAACATTATACAAAGGAAATTAAAGTAAAAAGTATAAACTACAACAGTTCTATTACAAAAGCAAGAAAATTACACGTACAAGAATTGGCATGACCTGTACTTTTAATTTTGACCTTGCTCTAATGACCTTACATGTACTTTAGAATGCTGATGCAAATTCTTAAGATAATCAATCTGTAGATCAAGTAAGAATTTCTGCAAAAACCATTCTTGCAATGCCTGGGTCCTACGTCAACAAGTTGCAGCTGGACCCTTGGCCATGTCCAGTCAATAGGTCATGGGCTGTTGATAGTGATGCCTTCCAAGAAAATGACAAATCTTGATTTATTTTTCTTATCTCTCAACCAATCACATTACATCATTCTATGATAAACAACTTGTAATGTGCATTTCAGGTGTCAACTGAAATTTTCTGTTTACATTAACTAACTATTCATTACATCTAACTATCCAAAAAAGATGCAATTTGATTGGTGCTGCTCATTGAGAGAAGCAAACCCTAAAATATTGAATGAAATTTGCAAGGGGTCCCCACAGCAACAAGTTGACTCAGGACTCCTGACATTGCAAGGATGCTGCAAAACCCGTAGTTAAAGGTCAATTATGCCATAGACAAGATTTTACATTTCATCTGGTCAAGAACAATCTTTTTGTCTTATATGAACTGTATAATAACCTGCATTTATAATCTTATAATGCCCACAAGAGAATTCTAAACCTGTGATCTTGACCTTGTGGAATGACCTTAATTCAGGGTTTGATAAGCAATCTTTATCCCAATTTTTGTATTTAAAAAAAGTCTTCAAAGATATGTTATAAATATATGGGAAGAATTTAAGTATTCCTAGAGACATGTATCTAAAACTTGGTTTGCAAAAGTTCTTATTATATATCTAATTATTTACATAACATATATAAAAACATTTTGAAATCAGTCCATGGTAAAAATGCCAAGTTTACCAAGTAAATAAACAAGATGTGTTTTAAAACACAGATGCCCCTGTATGGTAGGCCATGGTGAGGGTCATATTCTCTAAAATGCACGCAAACTCCAAAGGTCAAGGTCAAAAAGTGTAGATACCCAAAGAAAGGTCTTGTTACAAGAAATACACCTGTGAAAAATGAAAGTCCCAGAAAGTTATGACCAAGGTTAAAGTTTTTAAAAATTTGGTTAAACTCTGAGGTCAATGTCCAAAAATATTTATACCAGATGAAAGGTCTTGTCACAATATATACACTAGTGAAGTATGAAAGCCAAAGCTCCAATTGTTCAAAAGTTACGACCAAGGTTAAAGTGTGGTATTTTTTTTTGTAAAAGTAGGTCAAACTTCAAGGTCAAGAGGTCAAATTTGGTGGTATCCAAAGAAAGGTCTTGTCACAAGGAATACACCTGTGAAAAATGAAAGCCATAGCCCCACTCACTCAATAGTTATGGGCTAGCTAGGTTAAAGTTGACAACAGACAGACAGACAGGACAAAAGCAATACTAGTATACCCTGGGATCAGCATAAAAATAAACTTAATTTATATGGTTAAAAATCTGATTCATACACAAGGAATGTAGCATTGTACACAAATAATGTTTTACATTTGGACACAAAATAATCAGAAAATTGAGCTATCAACATATTAATGAAGTTTTGAATGCAATTATATGTGAAGCCTGAAATATCATGCCATTTTCTAGATGTAATGTAATCAAAATTTCAAAAAAATTGAAAAAAAACAGTTTGACTTCATTTCTTGAATGAAATGAAATAACTTCACAAATATGAAAAGAAATAAAATAAATCCATAACAAGATCTCTTCAATTCCTTGATGAAAAGTATGTCAAGGAAAACAAAGGTTTCTCAACATAAACTGTACTCTAAAATTTCAAAAATGACTGATCACAAAACTGTGTATTTTATTTATACAACAAGTTCTTCCTTTTCTTCAAAGTCTCGCAGTTTTTCCAAAATATCTTTCCTAGGAATTTTTTCTAAATCCAATTTCAGCTGGCCAAGGGTGTAATTCTGAAAATTCTTTGAATTTTGAATCAGCTCCAAGAATGGACTTTCAATCACTCTCTTCTGCCATTTTTGCTTGATGGTGTAAATCATTCCAAAGTTCCAGCCATGAAGATGAGCTAGTCTCTCCCAGTTCAAGCTGCTTCCAGCAAAGTCGAGTTGTGACTGTATGTACTCTATGACAATGTGACTCAGGTCCATCAAAGGAAGGTGATCATAATTACCACATGCATCAGAAGCTCCAGCAGCTAAAAATAAAGCAGGCAGTACCTTTCCTTAGTTCTCATATGTAGGAATTTAAAACTAGACCTATTGTCCTCGATGACCTATTGTATGCATGTTGCAAAACTGTGGAATCATTTTAATTTGTGGAGGTCAATGTTCATGGGCAAACAATTTTTTTATGTATTATTTAGAGTACGAGTTTCCTACTATATCAGAGATATAGGGCGGGGCTTGATAGCTCGAGCCGGGCCCCGCCCTGTATCTCTGATACAGTAGGAAACGAGTATTCTAAATGACTTGTGACATGACCTTTCTTATGACCTCAATAATTTACATGCTTATTTGGGTACTTATCTATCAACCAATCAGATGATTTTGGGGAAAGTTGATAGAGTATCCCATTTTAATTATTCAATCGCAACTGAAATGCCGAGCGAGGTGGACGTGCAGGTATGTATTATTTTAAAATATTTAGAATTATAAAATTTAATGCATGATATAATTTGTTTTCCATGGAAAAAATTAATTTAGATTTGATTACGTGCATAGGTTTTTTTTTTTACTCTATTCAGCTCTTGCTGATATAATTTTTTTTTATTTAAGCAAAAAAAATTGATATATAAGAATCATGTGGGAATATTTTTGAATGAAAAATGCTTCGTGGAGATAGTATTCTGAGAGCGATAGCTCAACCAGATAAATGGAAAAAAGGGGGAGTGCTATTCTTGTTCGACAATGTCATCCATCGGTCGTCATAATCATATACAAAATTGAAATAAACAGATGAAAGGAAAGGGGGGCTTACCTTCATGTTTTACTAAAATGTAGAGTAACCAAAGGGGGATCGGACCAGCACTCACAGGTGCGCGTCGGTATTTCGTGCTTTTTCTTTTTGGCTTTCGTGGATTATTTTTGCTAACCTTGTATACATACGCTTTTTAATTTATCACAAGTAACGATATCACGCACATGGTGTCTGGGTTGATTATTTATCTACCCCCACGAAAAACGATTTTCCATTTTTTTTTGGGGGGGGGGGTACGTGTAAAAGTAATCATTTGTGAACTGCCCATCTCCCTCCATTCCAATTTTTTTTAATCCGACACTCATAACTTTACATTCACGTTGTAAATTTTTTTTTCTGAATTCACTTCAAATTTTAAGTAAATACTAAACAGTGCTATCATGCGAGTTGAATGATTGTTACGTCTGTCTACAGTTACAGCTTTCCGTCATCGCTCAAAAAAAACCCGTACTGTATCATTGATATTTTGCAGATACAGTACAGTTTCTGTTCATTTGCATAAGAAACGCCCACAAAAAGTGTTCTGTATCGCAGTTACAGTACGGTTGACTTCAAAGGAAAACTCGCCGGGTCATGTCACATGTAATTTTGTGGGTAACTCATATATACAGCTGATTCAATGAATAAAATAATTGTTCACAGGAATATTAATTTGTGGATTAAAGTATAAACAATAAATCTAGGAAATCCATAAGCATTTGTCCCCCACAAATATTGATGATTCCACAGTAATTGTCAAATGTCATCAACAATCACAACAGGCCATTTAAGAGAATAGTAGGGTGAATAATAATCTGGTTAATTTAAAAATACTCTACTAATGTAATTAAAGGGGACAAGAAACCAACCACAATCATTGCCATCTGGTTTGTTGTATGGTTTTGCTGGCATTCCTGATGAAGCTCCACCAATGGAAAGCTGCAATGATAAAAATCAACATCATATCACTGCTATAGGCACATACTGTAAATCGTTTTAATTCCACGGTGGCAAAATTTCACGATTTCTTGAAAAGTACCAATCGCGATGGTTTTAATTTCACGCTGCAAGAACTTCATTTTAATTTCATATACGCATTTAATCATTTTTAAAACCAATGACAGCATTCACGGTGGGTTTAATTTCGCGGAAAAATGACGAATCGCGAACATAGTGAAATTAAAACCATCATGATTATTTGCCAATCTACAGTACTTAAAGGTACTTGGACACAGATTTGAAGTTAATATTTTCTCATTTTTTCTGTATAATATCACGAATTATATATTTTAATAGCATTTCACACAAAAATTAATTAAAAATTTTATTTCATTTAAAAGTTATTAAAACTTTAAATTTTTTGGCGGGTTTGATTGACACATCCTTGCACTTTCACAAATTTTAACTTTATTCTTAATCCTTAGGAAAAGTGGCAATTTTGAGTGTTTTAATGAGAAATCATTTAAATATTAAAACTTTTATCAAGAAAAATAATTTTATTCAGAGTTAGAAAGCAAAACACCTTCACAAGTATCGTCATTCCGAACTAAGAGATGTGTACAGAGTTTAGCAAATCGAGCACACTCGTGTTATGTACACAGTTTTTGTAAACAGGGCTCGAGTTCTGTTATTGTTTATATTTAGAATTCACCGGGTGCGTTCAATCGTCACAATCTGCTTATCACAACTGCACGGACTGACAATATATTGTGTGTTTGTTTTGCTTTCGAACGTGTCTACTCTGAATTTTCTGGATTATATTATTAATATTTTTCATTTATACAAAACGAGATTGCCACTTTTCCTAAAGATTAAGAATAAAATTAAATTTGTGAGAGTGCAAGGATATGTCAATCAAACCCGCCGAAAAATTTGAAATTTCAATATCTTTTAAACGAAATAAGATTTTTAATTAATTTTTGTGTGAAATGCTATTAAAATATATAAGTCGTAATATTATAGAAAAAATAATAACTTCAAATCTGTGTCCAAGTACCTTTAATAGATCTACATATACCATGGTGAATAAACTATTACTATCACAACTTCTAGCTACTAAGGACTTCATATCAAAGAATGATTATACATATTTGGTATAAAATTTTGATCCAAACTTCAATATCGGACTATATTAAATGAAAACAATTGGTATACTTATTAATTCTCGTGATTCTAATTCCTCCAATAAAATGTTGTGTGTTTTAGAATTCTACATTTCACCAATCTTCAGAAATGACAGGTCTTGAACATGTGACCTTGACTTGTCTTAATGACCTTGGTTCAGGGTCAAAACACCATCAGGCCAAATATGATCTTCCAAAGTTATTTGATTTCATTATGTTTCTATTATAATTTTTAATGTGTTTCTTCTTCAAAGCTGGCCAAAACCTTTGAAATGTGTGACCATGACCCAAATACCCAGAGTTAGCATAAGGAAAAATTGAATAGACACAAACAATCCCTGTTTCAAAGTATAAGCATCTTTTGTTTTTTCCCAAAACTTGAAAATTGGTTCCATGAAAAATGTGATTTCACATACTTATTTAATTTGACACTGACAGTGGCACCCCTTACTTACTGGATTCTGTAGAGTGGGACAGGAGCAGGAGTTCTGGCCTTGCCTCTGGAAAGGTCTGTGGTTTACGGGATGGCTTGGGAAACTTTTACGTGGGGTGTTCTGAAAGCTTGGAATTCCTGATAATGGTGGACAATTGTTGATTGTGTTAACCTTTGTGTTGTCTGTTTATAGAAATATTGCACATTATGTATAGCACACTGATAAAACAGAAAATTTTCTTTTGCACATAGTGTTTCTAATATTGTTTTACCTGTGTTTGATTGTTGAGTTCCAGTTGAGTTTACAGGTATATTTCTCTGGAATGTTGGGACTGGGAAATCTCTCATTCTCTGATCCAAATCCAAAATTTCGCGTCTAAACTCTGGTTGACCAAAGTTATTAGTAGGTTGTTGATGGAAGTAGTTCAACCTCGAAGGGGAACTCTGATGTCTCGATATGGCATCTCTTTGCAGATGTGGCTCTGAGCCCTTTTCAAGGTTTGATGTATGAATTGGATGTACTTGCTGTGCCATTTTAGAGTCAGGTAATGAATGCTGTAGAGCAGGAGGGAACAAGTTGGAACTGTCAAGGGTTCCATATGTACTGGAAAAAGAGTTCTGCCTGATGGGAATGAAAGGCAAATCTTGACTACATTCATGACACAAAGAGTAGGAAAATGTCATTGCCTCTGGACCAGAAGAACTTGGAATACTGAAACAAAGTGGGACTGATGTAGGTGATGCCAGGCCAGTTTGATGAGGAACAATGCTGAATAGCCTAACATTATCTTTTGTTTGGTTACATTTCTGACAGCGAATTGAGCAGTATGCCTGCTGGTAGGAAGTAGCATAACTCAACTGAGAATCTTGTTCAGTTACCCTTTGGCAGGATTCAAAATACATTGCTCTGTCATTACTAGCCTCTCTCTCTCCCAAATTGCAAGACTCTTGCATTGGGACTGGTAGATTGGAATAAGACAATGTGTGGGAGCTTTCAGTTAAGGCAACACTGGGGCTAGATATTGGAAGCTGACCTGGGGCCTGTGGACTTGGTGTAGATTGAAGCTGATTCAATGAGTCCTCCTGCCTAGGACTCTCTCTCACCATCAAAACATTCTGAAGGGGGCTATGGCCAACTTGCAAATCATCATTATCATTTAGGCTGCAAGGGACGTGTTTTCTCTCTACACTGTTATTTTCCACAGGCAGGGTAATCTCTACACTGCTTTGCTTTACCCTCGGGTGTGTCACACAAGGCACTGAATGGAACTTTTGGTTGTTGTCTGATATTGCTAAGCACTGTGTGCCAGGTATCTGGAGACCAATGCTCTGTCCTCTTCTTTTGTGGTCATCTGTAGCCAATACCTCAGGGAGAGAAGAGGGAGATCTATCTTTTTGTAGACAATCTCTGTTTCTTGGAATGGCTTTTCCATCTTCAGTTGGTAAAACTACCCGTAATTTGGTGCTTAATTTTTCCACCATTAAATTAGCATTTTCTGTTAAATAAACCAAGATGCTACCTCATAATGATTTTTTTTTTTTGGAATTGCATGCACTTTGACATTTAAACTTTATTTATTTGGGCTTGAAAACTATTGGAATTTTTAGATAAAATTAGCACAAGCAGGCTAGCCAAAACAAAGTTAAAGCCCTGTAAAAATACACTGTGCAGAAGTCAAAAATTTATTAATGACTCCAAAATTATCAGGAAAATGTATGAATTTAAAGGACTCAGGAAATGTATGTAGTATAAAGTTGAAGAAATTTTACAAATGTACTTTAATTTTAGGTCATATTCTCCTTTTTAAAAAAATTCTACAGATAGCTCTGCTGTTTGGGTTGTACCTGTTGTAGGGAAATCCTCAGCCATTCTGACTGTCCCATCCTTCCCACTGCTGGACAGGGATGTCCCAGAGTCCTCAGAATCCTGGGATTTAATACTGTCTCTAAAGGAATTGTGGGATTCCTGGGGATCACAGGATGTACCTGTGGAAACAGTTTTGAAAATGATAGAAATAAGCCCAAAAAGTCAATTGATTTGTATAGTTACATGTAATCCTTGTCTTGTATTATCACACAAAAAATTCAGTTCCAATCAATGAAGTGCTTTACAGACCCTAAAACTAAACCTTTTTCTCATTATCTTAACAACATTATATATACCCACTTGTTTGTCTGGTAAAGTTGTCTCTGTAAATGGAGTCTTTATCTACCGAATTCCATTCGTCACTGCTGAGTTTGTTGGCGGATATTTCTAGTGATGTTCCTGCCTGGGAGGACACGCCTCCATTAATTTCTGAGGGAAAAAATCAAGAAAAAATAGAATCAGATCTTTATTGGTTTAAAACATGGATCTCTGTCTATCACACATTGCTTTACTTTATAGGAAATGGATTAACATATGTTGTTGAGAAGTATACACAGCTTACATGGCAAAAACTTCCAGAAATTATAAATAAGGACTTGTTTATCAAGCAGAAAAAAAAATGCTTTGTTGATAACATAAAGAACAATAATTTTAATGTACCATCTGATTCTGTAGGTTTGCGCTTCACCAGAGGAAGTTCCCATATCTGTGTGGCAATGTGGGATACATTGTCTGTGGTTAGATCGTGTAGAGTAAATGGCTGGTCCTCCGTGATGTCATCTAAGAAATCTTGGATTTCCTTCTCTTTGATTTCATACTTAATAAACACAACCCTTCCAGATTTAAAATAATCTACAAAAATTACAATATAAAATAATTATTGCAGTCATGATTGTTTGTTTTTAAAAATATTTTTAGATTCAACCTATATAGGGATGCTTTGAAACTTGTTGAAATGTAAAATTTAATCACAAAGACAGATCTAATTAGATCAGCTGAATTTTCAATTCAGGTAAATATCAATAAATGCCAGATGTAAGAAAATATTTAAATAAATTAAATTATGATTCGAATATTCGTTTTTAAGTTTGAATTAAAAAGAGAGAAAACCCTGAAATTTTCTTACCTCTTGATTTTGTTCAACAGCCTTCTGGATTTCCGTCAAGGTGTGAAGTGTGTATCTAAAAGTAGTTTATTTATTTGTTCACTTAATTAGTGGTATAATAGTGTCCAGGGGCCTAAATAGTAAAAATTTAAAGGGTTGTTAGGATCTTTTACATTGAACATTTCATAGTTTTCTAAATATCATTAAAAATCATTAAGTGAAAATTCTATTAACAAAAAGTACAACCCTTTTAACTTTACCTTAAACTGAACTATTGTTGGTATGAAGGAGTTATCTCCCTTGGTGCACTCTTTTGTTGAGGAATCTTTTGAATTTTCAAAAAAAAAAAAAAAAAAAACTATCAGAGAGGTTTTGGACAGTTATAAATATATCGGAAAAAATACATTGCATCATTTTTTGATATACTGGTTTATCATAACAAAGTAATTGTAAAAACCTGTACTTTACAAGAGTCAAGATATATACCAAATTAATGTAAAGGCGTAATTTTTTAAAGCAAAGAAACCGTAACACAAAAGAAAATATCAGTGGATGTGAGACTTTTCAGACAAGGGAACAGATATGGACCACTAATAAATACGGTACAAATGCATCTGATCATTACACGTCGGCAATCTAAATGACACATTGATTCTTTTCCTTATTATAACTCGTTCATTTATTTATGCACGTTTGTATACAGAAACAACCTGTCCCACCTCCATGCTGAAATGGATACTTTTTGCGCCTCTATCACAGGAGAGTTACAATCTCGAAACTCGCATATTATATTATATTAGGTTTATTATATACATTGTATATAAAACTATTACCTGTGAGACATTCTACTCTAAATGCTCTACAAGTGTGGTATTTTTCCTCAAACTTCTTCTTTATATTGTCAACCTGGTTCTTCACTGCTTCATCTCTTGATAATAAAACCACTGAAAATAATAGTGAGAAATGATCATAACACATTTAAATCATCACTGCTGAGAGTACATATATATACATTTTGTTAAAAAATGGCGTTATTAAATGCATATTTTCCAAACATCATATCTTAATTAAACTCATTCTGGGCAATTTATTTTTTGAATTCATTTGGGGGTATTTTATCATTCCATCTAGGCAAAATATGTTGCAGGTGCATGAAATAAATAACCACAAACTATACATTTAGCACATATAGCTTAATTGTACAATGAGCATGATTAGAAATGGAACAATTATTATCTATTACCAATCATCTCGACTTGAGAGAAAGGCTCAGCTGAAGTTCCAATTGATATTAACTACATCATTGGGTAACTGATTTTGTAATTTTTGAGGAGTGAAATGGCCTACCCATTCAAAGATAACCTACTTTATTCTGGTTCTTTTGAACACTAAAATCTCAACTTTAAGTAAATAAACAATATTCCTTTTTTTTATAATCATAGCTTTCCTCATACTTACTTATGACTACATCAATGAATTCTAAACAGTGTTTCAATATTAAAAAAACACACAAACAAAAAAACAACAAAAAACTGAATGCTTGATTATAAATAAAATGCTGCGCAATTCAAATTGTAAACTCATGAAACTGTAACTATACAAATTGTCCTCACCTCTCTCCATCCCTCATTTGCACTATGCAAGATGACAGGTGTCAATGAACACAGCAAGTAATGGTTAGCGTTTGTTTTTGTAAATTAAAAACAATTTTTTTGTTGACAGTCGCAAAAAATGATGTCAAAAAAGTGATTTTTTTGTTTATCTTCCTGGTCTAGGAATTTCCATTGTTTTCATTCAAATAAAGTCGGGCTTGGGATGCAAAAATTATAACTCTTTTTTCCTAGAAGGACAGTTTAGTGTGTGTGCCAACATTTCAGAATTTTTTTCTTTCCCGTTTCCGAAAATTGAATGAAAAGTTATATTACCAATGTAATAAGATGACAGGTGATCCCAATAAAGGACTACCTCTTCCGAGCGGACCAGCATCCCTGTGTTTTGATAAAGATGTGTTTATGCAAGTAGGTATTTAGAGCATATAGACTGTAAGTGTTTACACACAGAGTGACAGACGGACAGAGCCAGAGGCACCTTATCAGGTCCAGCACAATCTCTTGATTAAGCTATATAGCTTTAAATAGCTATATAGCTTTATCAAGCTATTCAAAATAGCTTGATAAAGCTATTTATATGCAGTTTTTCACAAAAACGTTTTTTGTAAAAAGTAAACAAAAAGTGCAAGTATTTGACTATTCATATGTGAAATATGGACAATCAAAAATACAACCCAAATCATAGAAAGTTCTAACATTGCTGCTGTTGAATACTTTTAAGTGAGGCATGGGTAACTATGATTGCTTCTCATGGTGCTGAACTGTTACCAATGGTTCCATGTTCGTTCACCCTAAAAATTGTTCGCCCGATTTTCTGTTCGCCCAATTTCCCGTTCGCCCAGAGTCCGCTCACCCTTAAACTTGTTCGCACAGGGTCCGTTCGCCCAAATTTAATGAAGAATAAAATCTAACAAATTTCTTTCCAAATTTTTGGTACATTCGAAATAAAACAGACCGTCAGACGTTATGCAATGCATATTGTCACAAATGGTCACACTAAATGCATGACCTATCAAAGACCTAACAGACCTGTTTGGATATTTTTTTGTTAGATCAAAGGGAGATTCTTCAAAGGTGAAACCTTCAACATCCACTGTTCAGTTGTAAAATGGACCTATTAACATCTCAGTCCTTTAACTGTTTTCAAAACATAGCGCAATTTGTAAAAATAACACGGATGTTTCCCCCTAATTAACATTGATATTCATCATATTAATCATCTAATTAACTGTAGTACAAATACGAAGTCATTAAAAAAAATCAGAATCAAATCAAAAGTTAATTAAGACTAAATAAACATTGTTCCTCGTATCAGATTTTGAGAAAAAATATCCCAAGTTCGTAAAGGAAATAAATAGAAAAAATGATATATGTTATTTTCTAATTCATATGACTTTATATAAGTATTGGGTTCACATATAGTACAAAATATTGGGCGAAAAATATTTGGGCGAACGGACTCTGCGCGAACGGAGGTTTGCGAACAGGTAATAGGGCAAACAAACCCTGAAAAATACCAATCAATTATCCTGTTTGGCCATAATTAACCTTTTAAATTTCATTCAAGAAATAACTGTGTAGTCACTCATCAATAGCCCCAAAACTTTTAAAACTTAGAGTACAAAGTCTCTCAAGGAGAAGCAATTTGGTGAGTGATTTTTACATGCATTGCATTCAGAAGAGTTCAAAGTTTAATATTTCCACTGCACCAAAGTGCAACTTTTTGCACATGTTGAAAAAATATCACATTTGAGAAAAAAGTCTAATAAAATAGCTAAATCAAGCTGTTCTGAATAGCTTAATAAAGCTATATAGCTAAATCAAGTTATATAGCTTAATCAAGCTATATAGCTTAATCAAGAGATTGTGCTGGACCTGCTTATCATAAGGCTTATCAACTCTTGAACATTACAACTATAATGTTCAATAAATACACAAGGGAGGAACCGAAAGTAGCAAAAGACTTGTAACCAATGTCACAGGACGTCTTACTCGAGGAAAGTTGCAAAAGTCTTTGCATAGTTATTTCTGTTGTACTGTATATATGTGCCGACTATAAATAAAATTTACTTGACTTGACTTGACACTAGTGCAGTCATATATGGCAAGAAAATTATTATCATAATCAAGCACTTAAAGCTAAATTGTGAGAAAACAAATGTTTTGTCAATTCTATATACAAATAAGCTTCAGTTTCCAGATTGATATCGGTGAGACCTTTGAAAAATGATATGAAAAAAGATATAATGGGTGTAGAGTGATCATGCAGAGTTGAGATTTTAGGATACATCATGAAACCTTGTAATATCAGCGAGGTTCGTTTGGATTGAAATTTTGTTGGCAAAATGACTTTCAGTTTGTACACAACGTGACTTGTTTTTTTTTTGCCCCGACTTCAACCGCTCGTTTCAATCAATACGGGCATTGTAGCTGGCCTCTTTCCATTTTTACGATATCCTTTTATTGTTTTAAGTCCAATCACATTAAAACATTCCTTACAACCTTTAAATGGTTTAAATTATTTCAAAATATAAGTTGTTCATTTTCCCTAGAAGTTCCGCAATAGTCTGCTTCGAATAATTTGTTCTACTACTATTTCCTATTGGAATAAACTCTAGTACAAATTATTCGAAACAGACTTTTGCAGAACTCTTTAGCATTGGAGGTTTAACTGAATAGCAAACAGCGATGAAAAATAAACAACTTTATATTTTGCTGGATTTAAACCTTTTAAAGGTGGAAATGAATGTTTTACAGTGATAGAAACTTAAAAGGATGTCCAAGGGAAAAAGTTGAAGCAGGCAGTTAATTCATTTCAGCCCGTATTGATTGAAACAAGTGGTCGAGATCATTGCAAAAAATCCCTAATCACGTTGTATGGGATTTCTTTGAGATTCATAGTGGAAGCCAGACCAAAATTTTAGTCTCTATGAATCTCGCTGAGATTAGAGCATTGATTAGATTATTTCATTTTATATTATGTGAATTCAATAATCAATAGTTCCTTAAGTTAAGCTCTGTATTTAGATTTTAAAGAAATAACATTTTAGCATTATTTTTAGAGATTCAGATTTCAATGCTTGTTTATATGTAGTACATATTTTTTAGGGATGTCAAAATATTTATTTTCCTTAGTCGAGCATTCGATTGCATTATTCGAACGATAGTCTACTATTCCGAGCATTTATTGAAAAAAATTCATCAATAGCGTATTTATGAATAAAAAAATCCTTTTCGTAAATTTATGTAAAAAGTAACATCAAATCCATATACTGTTTGTTACACACCGATATATTTTGATAGGGATAAAATGTAGAAATGGAATAAATTTGCACCAGCAATTGATTCTCCAAATGTATGAATTTTCGAAAATCATTCATAAATTGGTCTTTATACATACTTTCGTTCTGATATGCTTAGAGAATTGTCAGCACAGTGATTTTAAAGCTTATTTTGAATAAATTGGAAAAGGGTAGGAGACTATTGTTTTAATAATTATCAAAGTTTCAAAACTTCACAGCTATGCTGTGTTCCTAAAGCATAATTTAAACATTCTTAGAGGTAATAAATAAATTTATAATTGGTACAAGTTCAATTAATAATTTTCAAAGTCCAGTAAAGCACTGCATAATATACTTCAATAACAGAAAAAGTCAGTAATTGAGAAATACTAGTAATTATCGCGGTATGTAATTACTGTAAAGTTGTGTACAATATGGAAACTTATTTATATACCGTGACTGTGTTTAAGCTCTTATTCGTGTGAGGACGGATACTATAACGGTTTGAGGAATGACGCTTTACAATTTTGAGTGGAGAATTCTTTAACACCTTTTTTGCATTTATTAAATATTTGAATGTCGTTTCATTATTCGATCGTCGGTCCATTCAACTGATAGTGGAATAGTCGACTATTCGTTGACATCCCAAATATTTTCATATATAATAATTAATCCTTCTTTAAATCCAGGAGAATTTTGATGTAGACCAGTTTGTGATTGAGTGCCGTAGAAGGGTTCCACTAGAGAACCTCAGAGATGACCTAAACACTTATTTGAAGATACTAAGGAGTGCAATGATAGAGCTCATTAACAAAGACTATGCAGACTTTGTCAACCTGTCTACAAATCTGGTCTGTTGGTTTGGATTTTACACTGTTATATATTAAACTGGATACATTGTTTTTTTATGAATGACTAGAAAAAGAAGAATGGATTTTTATAAAATGTAGAATGTTGTGTACTAGGATTCCTTTTTGCAGAGAAGTTTTTTTTTTGCATTAAAAGAAAATCTTAGCTATGTTATATCTAAGAAATGTTTAATTTAAAAAAAAATTGGTAGATAAATATTTCCTATTAATATCTAGCAACTGAATCAGAATATTCATTTCTTCTAATAATTTTTTCAAAGGTTGGAATGGATAAAGCAATTAGCAATCTGACAACACCCCTAGATCACCTGAAGGGAGAGATCATGGTGTGTGACTATATCCCTGCAGAGGGTTTTTTACAACAGAAATTTTCAGTGACATCCACACTGTTTCAGATTCAATGTCCCTGATCATTAATTATGTCTTTGAGTACATTTTTTTCATAAACACTGCTGCAAATCATGTGTGTTAAGCTCAAGTTATGGTTGATAGCAATGTGAACAAATCTATACCTAATATATGACTCTCTTATAAACAATACTTTGTGATTTTTTAAAATATTTTTTTTTATACATACAGACTGTGAAAACAGCAATGGAGGATGCAATCCAGGCAGTGGAAGAGAAATTAAAGAAGAGGGAACAAATCAGACAAAAAAAGGTAGGAGCCTTTGAAAATGTGAGAGATTTTAAGAGTCTGTAAGAGGAAAATAGTGGAACAAAAGAATCATATACATTTATTAATACATGTAAATCAGTTCTATAACTGTGATGACTTGTATTTTGTGTTATTCCAGGCATCACTACAGAGGCTGATGAATATCATTCACTCTGTGGAGAAAATAGAGAAATTACTGGGAATTCACTCCAGGGACAGCAGTTCTACCTCAGGGTAAATATGAATAACCTCAATATTTTCTAAGTCTTTTATATGATCCTAACAGGGTAACAGTAGTGTAGATAAAGATCAAATACAGTTATGATTATTGTCAAACTTGTTTGAGGTACCTATCTTATAAGCTTTCCTTGCTTGTAAACTCTTGTTTAAATATTTTGGAAATAGTGAGTGACACTTTGGATTAAAATAACATTTGTCATGGAATGGTATGTGAATATTTAAAAAATCTTACACATTTGGATTACTGTTGTATACTTTTTTCTGTGTGTGTGGGTCACATCACAAATTTTCTGTTATATCACAAAGTGGTCAAAGATTTAAATTCTACCATTGTGTTTTTAAAAAAATTTGTTCTTTTGTTTTGTTTACTCAGATTTTAAAAGTGCATCTTAAGTAAAAACTGTGTCTTCATCATGTGTTAACTTTGTAGACAGTTGAATGGACAGTTGATAGAGAGAGTTGCCAATGAATTCAACAAGCTTCAGTTCTACGTCACTAAGAGCAAAGGACTCCCTCTGGTAGAAGAGATCAAACCGGTAAAATTATCTACTTAACTCTAATTACGAACAGTGTATTTCTTTGATCAGCAACTCTACTTACCTGTTTGCTCAATATTCTAGGTTTTTGATACATGTGGATACCTTATTTCAATACATAGATCAGTTAGAAAAGTTCATTTTTTTTAAAATCTTTGAATTTAGGAGTGTTGTTTTATCTTTAGATATTAGTATTCATGCTTCAAATGCAGTTAGGAAGAGGACTTGCTACCTTCAAGTAGATTGACTATCATCAGAATGTCAGAATGTTGAAAGAACATTCAAAGAAGTATCTGTATTGACCGATATATTGTTCACTGTAGTTTTATGGTACATAGTTCTAAAGTTTATCTCTTTAATCAATAGAGGATAGCTAACATCACGACAACACTCCAGTACAGCTTGGAGGGGCAGCTTGTCGAGGGGCTCCAGAAGGGGAATCTTCAGGTTCTACACCAGTGTCTAAGGACATACGCACTAATCGACAAAATCAAGGATGCCGAGAATCTTTTCAGACAGAACATTGTAAAACCTTACATGGAAGAGGTATTGTACAGCAGAGTAATATTTTGATTTTGCAGGGTCTTGTTTGTTATTTGTTGATATTTATGTTTAATTGCCTGATTCTTTTTAAATTCCAATTATGATACTACATGTATTACATGTTTAGGTTCAGATAATTAAAAGTTTACTGCTATCAAATAAGATTTATATCATTGAAAAAGTCACTGTTAGGAATTAAGTCTGCATTCCATGTGAATTGTTTACCAAGGTAAAGTTACTTTGGTAAAACAGCATAAATTTAGAAATGATGAAGATTCAAGCATTTTGAAAACATTTTAAGTAATGAAAATATTTTTGAAAAACTAGGTTATAAGTGAGAAGTGTCTGAAAGCTAATGGTTTGGAAGGAATGTATGGTAGAGTGTTGGAGTTCATGCCGAAGCACTGTCGTCTGCTGAAGGAGGTGACTCTGTCTGGGAGCTCAGGGTAAGGAGGAATTCCTGGACATTAGTGTTATCTTAATAAAATTACAAAAATTCTATACAGTCTTTCATGGTGTAAACTTGACCTTTGTCCTTGTTCCCTATTTTATTTCATAGAAAAGTTTTATAATTTTTTTTTCAGTGTTGCCTGTATGTGTGGCTCTGTTAGCTTTTGGAGAACAATTTTATTCTTAAATCATTTTGTTCCATCTTGTTCTCAAGTAACATTACTTTGGTCCTTATGTTGCTTCATTTAAATCTGATTTTGTTTTTCTGAGAAATTGATCTATTTGATACTGAAAAATGCAGATATGAAGACAGAGTTACAGAAAATTGAACCCTTTGAAGTATTTCAAATTCCATGTATAAGTAAAATTCAGTTGTTTTGTTAAGCAGGTCCTCTGAGGTTGTCCGGGGATTTGATTTTCTGGTTAATGCTGTATGGCCAGAGATTGTGACCAACATCGAAGCCAGGACACACTCCATTTTTGCTCCAGGGAATCCTGATGTTTTCCATAAAGTAAGCTTATACTTCACAAGAAATTTGATATTTTTTTATCTCAATGTCAGTAAGAAAAGGAAGGAGATTTACTCTTTGGAAAGCAGAATTGAGAAAATTTAAACCAGAACTGTAAAATGTTTGTACTCAGCTGCAAAATCTTAAAACCACACTTTTCATCTAGATTTTGAATTAAAAAAAAATCATTTGAATTGTTTTGTTATTAATAAGATTTTACAGTTCTACAATTTTCTCCTTTCAGAGGTTCAAAACTAGCATGCAATTCTTGGATGATTTTGAAAAGCAGTGTGGGACACAGGCAAGTGTCAAACGTTTGCGGGACCATAGCAGTTACCATGCTTTTATGACCAAGTGGAGTTTACCAGTTTACTATCAGATAAGGTTTGTACTGTGATATTTACTAGGCATTGCAGTCAGCAATATAGCCTTCTGTTGTTAGGGTTGTGAACTACATGGAACTGAAGTAACCTGGAACAATGTCAGATTTTCTATCTTATACAAGAAATGTAAAAATTTGGTGGGTTAATTTTTCATATAATGAAGGGATAATCTGATTAAAATATACCGTCCAGGAAATAACAATGTATTGGTTCTGAAAGTACTTGCCAGCAACCATTGTGCCTTTGGAACTCATTTACGGTAAATGATCTGCCTAGGTGCATGTATATACCACCAATCCTCTAACATGTGCCCTTATTATGCACGTTTTCCAGTGATTTGATGGACACAAATACTAAAGTTTTGAAGGCATGAAGGGTGTCAGGATGTTGACATGAAAAATGCATATACTAGGTCTTAACTGTTTATATCTACTTTTTGAACACTGACTGAACTTCAATCAGTATTTTTTCAAAGACAGAGTTTAAGTCTAAAACTTTCCATTGTACATTTACTATTAGTACTGTAAAATGTTAATATAAACAGAATTTATCTTGATTTTGCATCCTTTTCAGGTTTCAAGATGTTGCTGGGGAATTTGAGTCAGCCTTGGAAATTCCATTTAACAAAGCCTCAGGTATAGATATGTATGGATTGTTTTTGGAAAATTCACAGTTGTAACTGTATCATTCCCTACTAGATTACCATTTCTTTAATAGATAGGCATACATACATTTTCTGAATTTGGGGAATTCAATTTCTCTTTACAGTCTGTTACAAGTGAAGTCAGAGCTATGATATTATAACCTTCATTGGAAGAAAATAACATTAATATGTACTTGGTTGTTGTCTATGATCTAAAATATAATAGTCATAGTGTATATCATGACATTGAACTCAAGTGTTTTCTCTGGAAGAGATGTTAAAGGGAAATACAATGTACACTTTAGAATATGTCCTTTACATGTATTTTCTGTTAATATAATTGTAGGATCCTCTGACTTCCTGCTCCATTCTACAGCCGTTCTGTGGACCTCTCTTCACCGCTGCTGGTCAGACGAGGTGTATCTAGATCTCCTCTGTAACAGATTCTGGAAGCTTAATCTCCAGCTCCTCAGTAGATATTCCCACTGGCTGGACGAGAGCTACCAAACTGAAGTAAGATCTTCTAATAATTAATTGGTCATGTATGGAAGATCTACCACTAAATTTTAATTTGAATTCATGCATATAGTATTTATACACTGGAATTATATGTGCTGTAATTTTTTTTTCATAGCTAACATACAATTAAGAAATGTACTTTTACAATGATGCTAAGAGGATGGCAGACAAGTTTTGTTACTACATGTATTAGCATACTGGTTTGTACTCTAAGGTGACAAGTCAAATGACTTGTTGATTGCCATTTTCACTTTTTAATGTTATCTGTTGTCAGTCAATCATCAGTTAAATTAATTTTGAACATTTCACTCTTTTTTCTGAGACGGCGGAACAATGGTCTTTCACCCATTTTTGGATTTTTTGGTATAAAACATCCAAGTGTAAAGTGGAACAAACAAATTCAAAGTTCTTTTCCACTCTTTCCTTTGAACCAAGAAATAAAAATAAATATGTTGGGCTAAAAATAAAAAAAAAAAAATTTCAGATTGAACACAGGAAATCCACTGAAAAAGACCAGAGTGATACCAGTAAATCTAAGTTGTCTGCACCAACTGACAGACCAGCAGACAAACAGAACGGGAGTGGTGATAAATCTAGCACTCCAATAGAAGGGGACACAACTCCACCTAATCCTCCAGTTACCAACGGACAACTACTGAGTCTCTTGTCTGATGCACTCAAACTCTCATCTCATGTAGGTGTATAATTAATGGAATACAATTCTAAAAATCATCTTCCTTTCCTTTATGGGGGCACTAAATTTGTGTTAATATGAATTTTCCTGGCAATTATTGTTCTAAATATTTAATTTCTTTAATTGTACATAATAAGTAAAGATGAAAATAATATTACTGTATCTCCTTTCATACATTTTTCTACACAAACAATGAAAAAATATTGCATATTTTGTTTTCCAGATATTCCACATGTTTGACAGCACAATAAAACCAAAACTTACAGCAGTGGGATGCACAAACCTAGAAGAATTCAAAGGTATTCATAAAAAGACTATAAACAGTTTCAACTGAATGTTATTGGTATCTTAATTTAATTTTGATTTCTTTAAAAATGAGTACTATGTATAATATAGTGAAAAGGCAGAATGTTAAAAAAATTCACCTGAAACCTACTTGCATGTATTACACATGCAATTTCCTTCAAGGATTTATAAAAGCTCATATTTACATGTAACTGCTACCTCTGTGAACATACTGTACATTACAGAGTTAAAAAACAATAAAGATTCTACTTTTCCTTTTTTTGACTTGATACTTAATACTTGTAGCCTTGTTTTTACACATTTTACGTCCCTCTTGAGAATTTTTTACTCATACGAAGACGCCCCTGCTTGCTGGTGGAGGGCTGAAATTTAGACCTGTACTCTGCACTTTATAGGGGCAGGGATGATCTTTTTTGTGCCAGCACATACTGGGACACAGGACTCAGTTTATACAGTCACAACTTGTGGTGGGATTTGAACCTTTGACGTAAGGATCAACTCCTATCTCTGCAACCATAAAATTCACAGAGGTAGCAGAAGAAGGGAGATAACTTTCATTAATTGAAAGATTGAACTACAGAGAATTAGTACAAGTACCACATAAATTTTTTCTTTAATATCTTACACCTTATTTTTTTTTCTCTGACAGAATGTTTGACAGAATGTAGTGAAGAAATTAAAGCTAAACTACCTAAATTCCAAGCCCATCTTGTGGAGGAAATCACTACACAGTGTTCTGCACACCTGAAGCAGGTCAATGACATTCCACGACTGTACCGAAGAACCAATAAGGAGGTACCAGTTTAAGTGCATTTTATTGTGGATCAGAATGTAGATTTTAATACCAGGCAACCTATAGGTTAGTTCCATTTTATTGTTAGGTACCAAGTAAACAGTCAGGCTATGTGATAAACCTCCTGAAACCCATTAAGATGTTTACTGAGGAACATTCAGAAATTTTAGACAAGAAACTCAAACTTCAGATGTTCCAGGAAGTATTGGACAGTCTAACTGACTCGTAAGTCACTGGCAGTTTTTATTAACGCATATATGACATACAGTGATTTTCAAACATTTAAAAGATTTTTTTATTATCTTAAAGCTTTGTAATCAGGACTGATTAAAACTTAATAATTGTGTAAAATTGAACATGTTTTTCCCCTCTTACAGACTTATGTAAACTGAAAACAGTTTTTAATTTACATTGTATAAGATACTTCAAGATTTCACCTTAAGGTAGGATTCTTCTCTGGTTTCTGACTAGATGAAACATTCAAAGCATATTTGCTTATATGTCTTACATATTGAGGTGTAAGGAATTTAAAAGACCATATTTTTCTTTCCTCATCACAATTGTACAACTTTAAATAGAAATGGTATACTGTGTTTGAAAACTAGCAGGGACTATATTTTTGGCGGAATGGTGGCGTATGAAAATAATTTCTTTTCTGCCTCTCAAAATTATAATAGAACAATGAATTTAGTTATAATTTTTACACAATCGGAGACTTGGAGAAATTTTCAAATGTAAGTTAGATTATTAATGAGGGACTAAACTTTCAAAATATATCAAATAGATATGATTTTTCAAATAAACGAGAACTTTATTAGCTTTTAAACGCTTCCTATCAAAGTGCAGAAGCCAAAAATCCATAAAAAGTATTTTTTCTCTCTTAATAAACGATCAAAACTTTTTGTTTTTGCATTTTGTACATGACCACTTTATTATGTGAAAATAAGAAAAAGTTAAAATGGGAAGCATATGAAAATAACTAATATATCCTAAAAAAATGATGTCTGTTAAAAAAGTGGAGGACAGCTTGAAGAGGCTGAAGAAGAACCGAGGGAGTGATAAAAGCAGCGGAAACCAAGGCATGACCGATGACGATAAAATACGACAGCAGTTTATTGTGGACATAGACAACTATAGTGCTCAGGTATTGCATTAAAGGGAGAAAAAAAACTGTACGTAATTCTCAGTTTATGAATTGGAAATCATTTCAGGTAAAATAAATCTTTCAGGTAAATGAATATGGAGATTTTGGCAACATGGAGAGCTTGAAAAAACTGCAGTCTTTGGCAGAGGAAGCAAAGAGTGCAATGACAACAGCTCAGTGAGTGGGATTAGGGGGATCCACAAGGTCTGAGTTTCCAGAGGGAACCACTGTATAAACTGGGAATAAGGAAGTTTACATGTAACTTTGCTATCAGAGGGATCTTTGTGATTAATTAAAAAAATCTGTACCAATAAACTACTCATGTATAACAAGACACAATAAAAAATCATTACGATTTAGATTATTTTTGATTTAGAGTAAAATGGTATTCTTCTGGTCATTTCCAGTAGTCAGAGATCAGACAAGAACAAATATTGGTTTTAAATGTCCATCTTTCAGTCAGGTCTGTAAACATTTTTTTTTTTTTTTTTTTTTTTTATTCACATCTCTTTTTACAATATCACACATTGAATTAATAAATGATGTGTGTTTTTAATAGAAAGAGGTAGAAGGAAGAATAAAGGAAAGCAAGAGAAAGAGAGGAGAGAGAGAGAGGAGAGAGGAGTAAAGAGAGAGTTTAGTAGAAAAGTTGGTTCCATCTGTTCCACTGGGCATCAAATTTTTCTTTTTCACTATTTCTATAAGATATAAATTTGTGTGTTTCATAATAAAACTTCATTTGTGATATTGCAGCACATAAATTCAAAGGTTTCTTAGTACATCTTGATGTGTAAACATAATATTTCAGCCAAAGGATAATAGTATTTTGAATATCAGTATAATTCTCAATGTAACCTAAAATAAATGATCTTTTAGTAATATTGATGACTAGACCAGTCTTATCTTCAAGGAAAAGTACAAATTCTTCTAGAAATAATTGTGTATAATCACATTCCCATAATAGGTGTTCTATTGTTTCTTCTTCTGAGTGGCAAAAATTGCAGTATTTAGAGTCATTTTTGTTAATTTTGAATAAAAATGAATTTGTTGCTAAAATTCTGTTTATAATTCTATATTGAAACCATTGGATTTTACAGTCTTTTGTCACTCTGAAGGGTATTTTGTGGAATTTTTTCCATTCTTTATTGTCAATCTGTAAAATCTCACTCCACTTTGTTTTACCTGTTGATACAGAAGAGTTATGATTAAGAATTTCATGAAAACATTTGGATTTGTGACATTTCATCACTTTGTAAATATTTCTCATAACTAATGGGTTTTCTAGCTTTTTAATAGGTATGTCAATGCCAGAATTTTTTATCCAAGACTTAATAGCATGAATAGTACTACTATATTCTAAAAAATTTATCTTAATCATGGGATAGGTATTACAAAAGGATTCAAAACTTAGAAAAGAACCATCTTCATTAATGATATCATTAACTCTTCTAATGTTGCTGTTAAACATTTGTTTATTATAAAAGGGTTTCCCCCCAATACGAATCATTGGGTTGTAAAACAAAGGTGAGTCACCAGCAACCTCAGATACCATCTCATGATTTTGTAGTATTATCCAGGATTTGAAAACGTCTATCCAAAATTTATTTTTCAAAGTCTTCAGATAGGTTGTGACATAATCAATTCCACAGTTTATAAATTTGTCTAAGTTGAAATTTGGAATGAGATGTTCCAAACCCCTATTTGTAAAAATGAGCTGTCTTATCCAAAATAATTTCATAGAAGATATAAAAGACTTTAGGTTTAACATTTTCAATCCCCCATCTTCATAATTTTTAACAATAACTTCTTTTTTAACCCTATGAATTGAATTATTCCATAGAAATGAGAAGAATATTTTATCTAATTCTTTGCAGTATGATTCAGTGGGATTTGGTATTGACATTAAAATGTGATTTAATAAAGGTAAAACTAATGTCTTAATGACTGTAATTTTCCCTATTGGAGTTAGGTACCTTTTCTCCCATTGTTTAAGTATTGATTTAATCTGTACTAGCTTGGGATCATAATTTAAATGTAGTAACTTATCCAACTCCACATCAAAATGTATTCCTAGAAGGGTAAATCTAGTAGTTCCCCAGTTAAGATTGTAATTTGGCAGTAGTATTTCATTGCTAAACTTTTTGGAGCCTATCCATACTATATGAGTTTTGGCATAATTAATGTGTAACCCAGACATTTCTGAAAAACTCTTTAGTGTTTTTAATGTTTCCGTAAGGGATTCTTTACTACCATCAAGAATAAGAGAAGTGTCATCAGCTAATTGAGAAATCTTTTTTTCAATATTGTACACAGTTATTCCTTTAATATTTTTGTTTAATCTAATTTGGATTGCTAGTATTTCTGCACATATAATGAATATATAAGGGGACAATGGGTCCCCTTGTCAGCTGGATGTTAATTCTATCAGAGAGATTACCACCTTGATTTATTGCAGATGTAATGTCCGTATTAAAGAGTGACACCCAATTCCTAATTGAGGGGCCAAAGTTAAAAAATTTAAGTGCTCCTTGAATAAAATTCCAGGACAAAGTATCAAAGGCTTTTTCAAAATCAATAAGTAATAATAACCCAGGTATATTTTCTTCTTCTGTATAATGCATTATATCATAAATTAACCTTGTATTTTCACCCATATATCTGTTAGAGATGAAACCTGTTTGATCTTTATTAATAATTTTGTCAAGGTATCTTTTTACTCTATTTGCAATAGTGCCCGAAGCAATTTTATAGATGGTATTTAACAAAGTTATTGGTCTCCAATTCTTTAAGTATTGTCTTGGCTTATCACCTTTTGGTAAAAGTGTAATAATACCATGTCTTTGTGTAATAGAGAGACTTCCACTCCTATAACTGTAATTTATAGATCTAACTACAAAGGGACCAATATATTTCCAAAACATCTTAAAAAATTCAGCAGAAAAACCATCAGACCCTGGAGATTTATTAGATTTCATTTTATAGAGTGTTTCTGAGGCTTCTTCCAAAGTAATTTCACCTTCTATAGATTCTGTCTCTTTACTGGAAAGCTTTGGTATTTCTTCATTATTTAACTGTTTGAATAGATCAATATTTGGGTTTACTGTACTGGTTTTATATAGTTGTTCATAAAATAATTTTGCTTCCTTTAAAATTTCTGATTGATCATAAATAGTATTACCATTATTATCCTCCAATCTAGGTATGATCTTACTAGTAAAATTTCTAGATTCTAATGCGCAAAAATAGTGTGATGGTTTTTCGCCTTCTTCAACCCATTTTGCTCTACTCCTAATATAAGTACCTTGCAATTTATGCTTTCTAATGTTCTCCAATTCTTGCTTTTTACCATATAGTTCATCAATATTACTTTCACAAACATTTTCTTCTAATAATTTGATACTTTCTATTAAATCTCTCTCTTTGTTTTCTCTTTTCTTTTTGGTATATGATGCATATGAAATAGTTTTACCTCTTATCTCTAAAAGCAGAGTTTCTAAAAATAGCTGATCATTAACAGTGAAATAAAAATTGGTATCTGGAATATTATCTATATTGTCAAAGTTATATACTGGGATTGCATACTGTTTCTTAACCTCTAAAATTACATTTTTGATACAATCTAAATAATTTTCATCATGAAGTAGAGAGTTATTAAACTTCCATAACCCCCTACCTTTCTTAAATTCATTAAAAGCTATAGACAAGGATATTATGGAGTGGTCTGATCTGTAACTAGTATCTATAGAGCATTTTTCCAATCCTGACAAAAGGGTTTCAGTTATTAAAAAGAAATCTAAACGGCTTTGCTTCAATGGATTTTTCTTCTCCATGAGTATCGGCGCTCTTTTTCGTGCAGCTGTCTGAAAGGGTCAATATAACAATTATTTTCTATTATTTCCAAAACTTTATCTCTTGCCTTTGGATTATTGACAGATTTATAATTATAATAGTCCAAGTCTGGATTTAAAACTAGATTGAAATCACCACACAAAATAATATTTTTACACTGCATATCATCAATACAGTTTTGTAAATTTTCAAAGAAGAGTGGTGTATCATTATTTGGACCATAAATGTTGCATATTAATACTTCATGGCCCTCTACACATGCTTTAAGTAAAATAAAATTTCCATCAAGGTCGCCCTTTTCTGTTAGAGGTTTAAAATCAAAGTTGTTGTTAACTAGAATTGCCACTCCCCTAGAGTTTGTAGAGTATGAGCTGAAAAAGCACTGGTAACCCCATAGATTTCTTACTTCGTTTTCAATATCACATGAAAAATGTGTATCTTGCAAACAGTAAATGTTATAATTTAAGGCTCTTAAGTAATTAAAAACATCCTTGCGCTTTGCAATATCACCTAAACCTTGACAGTTTACTGAAATAATTTTAACCATTTGAAAAACGTTTACAAGTTGATACCCACCGGAAGAATGGACACGAACAGTCGGAACTCATGATGAAAGAAAGAAAGGAAGAAAGAAGAAAGTAAGAGCTACAATATAACAGTAACAGATAAATTAAAATATTGCAGTTAAAAAACAGTTCAAATGTAAACCAAGCTGACTACCGTGATAGTTGTGTTGTGAGTCACTGTTTGGAGTTTGTATTTGTAACGCGAGCATTCTGCTAACTAATGGCGGAGAGGGTATGGTAAGAGTTTTTAATCCCGGATTTTTTTTTTTTACCTTATGGTCAATATCATCAAGGATGTCGAATTTCACACGTTTGTCCTTCACTTTTGCATATACAGATCCATTAAAGTACCAAGCAGAGGAAACATTTTCATTATCTAACAATCGTGCGATCAATTCACTATTTTCCTTCGTGACATCGTCCCCCAGTCGAACATTTCCAGGAGCTTCTTTGACCTCCGATCGATGCCGCATGATGTGCGCCTTTTTGTCGTTGTTCTTCATTTTTAGGTCTGTAAACATTTTTTAAAAACTCGACTCCTCCAGATTTTGTTTGCAGTAAAATGCTCAATTCCTTTTAGGTCAGCTTTTGATTTGATGAAATGTTTTTGTTACTAGATATAGAATATTCTGTGAAAGTCTTAAAATACACTACTCATGGATATTATTAAATTGGTTAAAAATTTAGATAAATATTGAAGCAGAAATTACTAAATAAGAATTTGTGAAATTATCATATTTTTAAAATTGCTATTCCTCCTACAATTTTGATTTGATATTAGTATAGTTTGTACGTTTAGAAAAATATTTAAAGTGCACTTGCATCTATTTTCTTTTGAAAATACATGTACAAAGTACTGTAGCAGAACTGTTGCTGCAGACCTGTAGCTCACTTGGCTGAAAAAATCAGGATGGACAACAGAGAGCTCATAGTCATAGTAAAAGTGTATATTAATTGCACACAAAAAGTTGTGCTCATTTTTTAAGTTGTGCTCAGTTCTGAATTTATTTTCTCCAAATTCTTACCAACAGCACAAAAGCGTGATTTCAAAATTCTCTTTAGACCTCTATCAAGTGCAACTACTCTTTTAGTTGACATCTGCAAGAAGCACTTTCGACCAAATTATCTTGCAAATCACAATGGCAGAATAAATAGATGTTTTGATAGTCTCAATTTCAGGCCCAGGAGGGCTATTAACAACGGTTGTATTAAAAGAATGCTTTGTTGTGGAAAAAGTGAAAGAATATGTTAGAGACACAGAAATAGAAAGAAATCGAGATTCAGCACAAATTTTTTGTGCGTAATAAATACATGTACACACTTTTTTCAATAGGTGGCACTGTAGCTATCCATCAGGTCTAAAAATATATTTGGGAGAGCTACAGTTCTGCATCTAGTAGAATTACAATGTACATGTACATGTATTACATATAATTACTTTGCCTTTAATGTAGTTTTTAATCTTGCAAGACAAATTGTTCATGACCTTAGTGTTCCTAATGTGAATTTTTTTTTTTTTAATTTCCTGTGCGTTTTATTTCCTGTGTTGGTATCACCATAAATGGTTTGTTTATTCCCCATAATCTGGTTTAATTATTTGAGAACAGAGAAAAAGAAATCAATGCAGAATATTTTTATTGTTAAAAACTAATATGTTCCTTTCCGCATATAACAAATAAATTTCCTGCTCCATTCATTAAATAATAAACATTTAACAATTAAAAATATGCAACAAAATAAAGTTAACTAAATTTCAAAAAATACATGGACATTGATTATGTGAGACCCTAGGTATAATGATTTCAGATTCATAGAAAGTGTACATACTTCAAAATTAAGCAGATCTATAAACTGTTACACAAACAATGGAATCAATAGTTAAAAAAGTCAAAATAAAATAAAATCAGATCAATTTTTATCAATTTCTCACAGCACTGGCACCATGGAGCAATTCTTTTTCAAACTGTTCAGAAGTAAATGTCCCATCAATCCTCTCACAGTTGGGATTAAACACAGAGTAGGCACTAAGTTTATTCTGTTTCCTTTTGTCTGTTCTTGTGTTGTAATATATAAAAAATATCATTGATACCACAAAGAAAACTGCCCCAAACTGAAGTTCAATACAGAAGAGCCAGGCAAAGACCCACATAAGAACAGTAAGTGTCAGCTGCGTCCGGTTCCATGGTTTTTCTGTAGATTTTTCCAGCTCGGTCTGTTCATCATTTGAGGTAATGTTTTCATCTGTTTTCACCTGAAACGGCACAAAAAAATTAACATATTAATATCACGTCAGATTTTGCTAATCTTTATTAAGGTTAAATCAAATAAACAAATTTTAGAAATCTTAACTATTCTTTCATGTTCTACAATGTAATTTCTCTCGCAAATAATGCCATTATGATATCAAGTGCATCTGTTATCAATATTGGGCAAACATTTAATTTTATACTAGAATGCCAACACTGATGCTGAAGGTATCGCACAAGCTCCTCCAAATTATTTCACTGAGCAAAAAAAATTTCATTTTTTCATCACCTGTAGTCTGAAATATCTGACGTTTTTTGAGGTTTTTTCATGATTTTGATATTTTACCTGCCAGGTACAGGTGTCACTGCGAAAACTGGGAATTTGTCGTCTCCAACTGGAGAAACATTCTCAGGTTGATTTTAGATACTTGCGAACAGAAATTAAATGTCGAAGTTGTAAGTTATCAATAATATATTTAGTACTTAACAATTATCGAAAATTATGTTGATTTCTTGAACTCTTATTAAACGTGTTTAATGAACTTCGAGTAAAAAGCAACTATTTTCCGTGTTAAAATTATGACTGTGTACTTTGCATACAATAATTCCATTTGGGTTTTGGAATAAAAGTATATCTACAGTAATCGACCTTCAGTATTTCATATCCCAAAATAAAGGCAGTTTTGTATAAAAATGGTACCCCTTCTTATTTTATGGGGGTGTCTTGTAAACGAAACAATAACATGTATCCTCAAAAGACAAATATGTATTTTCGCCTTTAACAAAATATTCTGAGATAGAATCAATGTAAACTATATCTTAAATTTGATTCCTTTTTCTTTTTTTTTTTTTTTTGTATGTATACAGTGTATATATTTAACGTAAAATCAAACATAGTAGGGCCCTGTCAGGCCTGTGATAAATACAAAGAAAGTCTCTCTTTCACGTCTCTGGTCTAAACTTAAATTTTATACCTGATGGGAATCACATTGTTTCCTTTTGAAGATATGAAAGAAACGATTTCCAACAGATGTATTTTCTTCTGCTTTCTTTGCTCTGTATTCTGCAAGCTTCTTTTCCATATGGTAATGTTTACGTTTCTTTGATGATTATGAAAATGAAAGTAAGTTTGCAATTAAAAGAACCCCGATCCCGATAATTGAAAACAGCTAAGGAAAAAGAACACAGTGGGGCACCTGCAATTTTGTAATGTGCGAGGATTTCCTATTGAAAAATGTCGATTTTGGGGAGATGGATTTGATAGAGATGATCGTATTTGTGATCTTTGTTCCTCTAACAATTTAGGAGATGAATTCCACTATCTTTTAGAATGTTCTTTTTTCAAGAGTGAACGAAAAAAACTTGTTCCAAATATTTTTTATGCTAACCCTAATGTTATCAAATTTCTGTAAGGATACTAAAGTTATTTTTGAGCTCGCCAAATTTTGTAAAATTTTATTGTCAGTAATATGTTAATAATAATACCAAAACTACTATTTAACAAGTGTTATAAATACATATAGTTTTATTTTGTATAAGCAGGGGCCTTCTATACTTTATTATTTGAACCATACATGTGAATTGTAAATAACATTTGTACCACTCATTCTTTCATGCATTCTTGTTTATATGTAAAAAAAAAAAACTTGTGTTATTTGTATTCACATACCCCAGTTGGGGTCTTTGTCTTAAATAAAAACTTGAAAACTTGAAACTCGAGATACTGGCAGATCATAATTACTTTATCCAATATAATTTATGCGCGGAACTAGAACTCTACAGATGAGGATACCGAGATTTAATTTAAGATAAGATTTAATTTTTGAGAAATTCCTGAGGCCAGGAACGACGACGCTTCACTCCTTAGCGCTACATGATAAATATGCAGGTGGGAAGCGTCGTAGCTATTGTACCTCATGAATTCTTGTTTTAAAAAAATCATATCTTATATTTACATTATCTCTCTGATGACTTGCCATATTTTTTGGCATTCAACGATCATTTTTTTGAAAAAAGAGAAAAGTGGCACTAGTTTTTGAATTCAATCACATCACAATGGAAATATTTTTACTCATCCCATGGTAGTTCACAAGAACATGAATCTTTTTCTAATCTGCAAAGAATCTTAAGAAAAAATATTTGGAAATGTAAATATCTAGTTTTAATGACCATGGACCACCTAAGAAAACAAGGAATTCATGTTAAATTGAAAGGATCCAAAGGTTGCCATGGGCAGCCGAATGGTGGCAATCTGGATAAGCTCCAGTTGTCTACAAAATGTTCCCATGGCGTGCGCTGCTAATAACCTCTGATATCCTAACCTGCTCATGTGGCTTGCATGGAATATATGGAGATAACGAACAGTATTCAAGCTCGAAATTAAGTCCATTAAACAACAAAATAGGAGCAGAGCAAACACAGACCTCCAAAACATCAGAAGTGGGATCAGGTGCGATCAAGTCCGGCGGAACTGCTACTACTGATATATGAGAAGGGGTGAAGGTGAGTTACCTGACGTCTGAAAAAAAGTGCGTCGGGCAGATTGTGCTCATCAGTCTAGGAGAACAGCTCATCTAAGAGAAGGAAGACCCAGATTCCAAACCTCCGCTGCATTGCGGCCATACCAACTTGTGGGAATAAGAGGCTAGATGAAGGAAACGTTGGAAAAATCCGAATGGGCTGACTGTGTCCTTATCCAGGGAAGGAAAGCAGTTTTGAAAGGAAACTTTAAATCAAACCTCATATCCTCGAGCTATAGAGGTTTGCATAAGGCCAACAACTCTGCCTATAAAAAAGCTAGCTACAGAAGCGTCATTGACAAACCAAAACCAACATAACCTGGGTCAGATTAGGCCTACTTCAAGGGGAACTATGTGCAATGACAGCCGAAAGGAAGCTGTGGAACAGATCCCCTTTCTGACACAGGGCCAGGAAAACCATCAGATTCATTACTTGAAACATCAGGAAAATGCATGACTTTTCAGAAGAAAGAACAGTAAAGGTAACAAGCAAAACCAACATAACCTGGACCAGATTTGGTCTACTTCAAGGGGAACTATGATGTTGTGCAATGAAAGCCGAAATGAAGCTGCAGAACTGACTCCCTTTCTGAAACGGGTCCAGAAAAACCACCAGATTAACTATTTGGAACATCAGAACTGTTACAATGTATGAAGGAGAAGGAACAGAAGAGGATGTAAAAGAGATGAAGCACTACAACATTTATCTTCCAGGACCGAGTGAGATGATGGGCTACACACAGGACAGCCGAGGCTAACCACCAAGGAAACGCTGTGAAAGAGAATGGCGATAGATTTGCAAACCTATGCTCCCTCAACAAGCTTGTAAAAGGAGGCATCATTCAAGGGCCACATGGAGATCCCCTGACCATGTTACAGAGAACCAGATCGATCATATTTGCATCGACAAGGAATTTAAAAGAGCATGGAAGGATGTCAGAGAGATGAGAGAAGCATATTTTCACCAGACCAATATCTTCTGATGACTGCATTAGGCTACGCCTCAAGAAGTTCCATAATATCAAACATATGGACAAGGTTCAACCTGAGTGAACTCAAAACAAAGCAAGTGAAGACAGCATTCCAAATCAGCTTGTCCAACAGATTCCTGCTGCTACAAAACCAGGTAGAAAACTATGATACCAACATCGAGTTCTAATGACATAACAGATCCGGCTTTTCTCCGCTCCTGTTTTGTACTGTTCAATGGACTTGCGAGCACAAATACTGTTTGTTATCTCCACATATTTCATCAAAGTAATGTGGCAAGACAAATGTGATGGAGTACTTGACAAAAATGCTCAACACAAAGAGTTGATCTCTGTTGATACTATGAAGACACTGGATGTGAGGAAGGAAAAGAAATTGGCACTGAACATAAGCCAAACAGGAGCAGCAAAGGCAATAGTTCAAAAGGGCTGTACAAGAGGACTATACAGCCACAGATAAAAAGTTAAGAAAAGCGTCAGCCAGGAAAGATAAACGGGAGCACATTGGCAACCTGGCTAAAACAAGCTGATGTAACAGCGGGAAAAAGAAACTTGAGAAAACTGTATATGGTTTCAAAGAAGCTCTCCAATAAGTTTCAGCAGACAGAAAAGCCAGTGAAGGGCACGAATATGAACCCTCTCACATCAACAGAAGAACAATTGACGAGATGGGTAGAAAACTTTGGAGAGCTATTACTAGTATATAGACCAACACCTCCGACATTCAACCAGCCGACACAGATCTACTGATCAACAGTTACAAGTCAATTAAGACAGAGATCCAGGAGGGCAATTACCACACTAAAGAATGGAAAAACGAGAGGGCCTGGCGAAATACCTGTAGAGAATATCAAAAATGACACAGGTATAAAAAGAGCTGTTTACATCCTTTTCCACCTCTTCAAGAAGACCTGGAAGGAAGAAATATTCCGGAGAAATGGGAGGAAGGCATCCTTATTAAGGTAGCGCTGTCAAAGAAGGGAGATAAGAGGGTCTGTTGTAATTACTGGGGAATTACCGGCATGCTCTTGTCAAAGTCCTCAACAGGGTCCTTCTCGAAAGGACGAAAGAGGCAGTGTACCAAAGGCTTTGATCAGCAGGCTGGTTTTAGACCCAGCAGATCATGTGTTGACCAGATAGCCAGTCTGCGCATCATCATTGAACAATCACTTGAATGGAAGTCCCTCCCCCTATATCAACTACATCGACGACGAGAAAGTATTCGACAGCGTAGACCGAGACACTGTGGAAGATACTAAGGGACTGTGGAGTCCCTGAGAAGCTCGTCTCCCTGATTTGAAACACTTACCAAAGCATGATTTGCAGGGTTGCCAATGCTGGCTAGATGTCCGAGAGTTTCGGTTTCAAGAACAGGAGTTCGACAAGGATGTTTGCTGTTACCATTCCTCTTTCTCTCGGTCATTGGCTGGATCATGAAGTCTACCATATCAGACAGAAACAATGATATACAGTAGACACTCCTGACGCAACTCGACGATTTGGTTTTTGCTGATGACCTACCCTACTTTCGCACAACCACAGTCAAATGCAGGATAAAACAATTCGCCTTGTAACAACATCAGCAGAAGCGGGACTCAAGATAAATGTGAAGAAAAAAACAGTATTGATTAAAATAAGCACCACGGTCCAAACACCAGTCATAGTTGATGGTGAACCCATCAGAGAATTTGAGACCTTCATCTACCTGGGGAGTATGGTTGACTGACAGGGTGGAACAAAATCAAGATTTTGCCAGACAGGAACTGCATTTATCATGCTTAAGAACATCTTGTCCTAAAAGAACATCTGCATTACCACTAAACACCAAATTGCGGATCCACAATCCAAATGTAAAGTTCGTCCTATTGTAAGGACAGAAGATCCAGACATTTCACAATAACTGTCTCAGGCGCATCTGCAACATCTGATGGACTGAAAGCATCACAAATGAAGAACTATTAAAGAGAACAGGACAGGAACCACTGAACACACCAATCAGATGGAGGGAGTGGGGCTGGATTAGACACATCTTAAGGAATTCGAAGTCACCATCCAGCATTACGTATCACAGAAAGAGGGGGCGTGTAAGAGGCCAGGCTCGGAGTCAGAACTGAAGGCACAAGAAAAGACCTGACATGATGGAATGAAAGCAGCCCAGAATCGAGTTCTATGGAGGACTATCGTCGATGGTCTATGTTCTTCACGGAATGACTGACCAAAGTAAGTAAGAAGCTTTGTTGTAGCCTACAAGCTTTGTTCATAAATGCTTTCCACTACGTAATTGATATTTTGTGTTAAATTTTTGTGTTAAATTTTGAAATATTTGAAGAAAAACCCAAGTATGCAATGAAATACACAAGGGTATCAGTAATTTGTTATTCTTTGGGGTCAATTAGTGAATACTAGTACTAATTTCTTTCGGGCAAATGTACAGTAGTTTAACATGAAGGGATTCGCAAAATGGCCGCCGTTGTAAACGTATAAATTAAAAAAAAAAATGCAAAATCAAATTAGGTGTTTAAAAATCAAAGGAATTAAATTCTACTTATTTTAAAGGCTCAGTATTTGGTAATCTG